TGACTTACTTTCTGTAACTCTCTAAAGCGGAGCTGCTGCACAAATCCTCCCCAGTAGTACAGCCAGATTCCCCACTCTTCCCCAGGAAACCTTGTGCTGCAATTTGCTTTTGCAGCCTCCCCAGCACACAGGAGGGTGCAGCTGATGCAGGGAAAGGCGCAGCTCTGTGCCTGCTGGAGGTGCAGCCGGTGCAATAATCCTGGCCCAGCCAGCCCAGAGGGTCGGGCAGTGGGAGCAGGGGCAGGGGGGCAGTGCAAGCTGCCAAGGCTGGGATATTCAGCAGGATTGATAGAATTTTTAAAGTGATTTCAGGTGAATTCTTACCTAAACCTGTTTTTAAAGCAAAAATAAAAAACCAAGCTGGGAAGCAGCTGGGAGCTGTAAGGGATGTAAAGCCACCCTCAGGCTGTGAGCTTTGCTGGGTGGCTCAGGTTGAATTGGAGCTCTGAAATAACAGTGGGAATTTCAGTGGCAGGGATTCACTTCTGAAGCACTAGAGGAGCATTTAGTTTCAATGAGTGATGAAACCTGACTGAATCAGACAAATGAAATAAGTGACCTCTGTCTGGCAAGGTTATCCTTGTGGCTGGACTTTCTTAGGCAGATTTGAAGTGCACAGAAATAGGAATTGTGAGCAAGAAGCCCATTAAAATGCCATAAAAGGGGGTGCCCATGCTCAGGAGCAGGAAGGGTTAAAGGGTGCCCATGGGGTGAATGCTCTCTCAGGTCAGGTGCCCACAGCTTTGGTTTCTCAGTGCCCAGATGTCCTCTGCTGGTCTAATTAAAATGTATTGTTTAATTTCAAGCACATGTTTTAAATTAGCTTAATGGCAATGCTCTAGGGGAAATGAATTTCCAGAGTCATTTTTCCAGGCACTGGACAAAAGTGCTGGCCTGCATTTTTTGGAAAGGATGTGAGATTTGAAGTGCCCTCCGTATTTGCTACCTAAAAGAGATGTCACAGGAATGGCATGGAATAATTAATTACTTGATGGAAATATGCTTCATTTAGGGAGAGTTAAATTGCAGATGACTTGTAAAATGTTAACTGTTTCTTAAAACATGAGGAGTACTGGTTTTTAGTACACTTTGCTCCTATATTGGTGACTGTGGGAATTTTCATTTTAATAAGTATCTGCTCTGTGTAAAATTCTCAATGCAGTTAGGGCCCTGGAAGGTGGTGAGGGTTTGGCTCTGTCAGAATGAAAGGCCCTGAGGAGCTGTGGGACAGGACAGGGCTGCAGGAGCTGCTCTCACACAAGGTTTGAGTTTCAGACATTAAAGGAACTGGGCTGGGACCAGGCAGGCGAGGGAGGGTGGAAGTGAAATAAATTCTGGAGTGATGAAATTACTTTGGACAACTTAATGAAAAAAACCGCTCAGATCCCACTGAGCCATTAAATGACTGAATTCCACATGGAAGCACCCATCTCCTCTGACAAGCCTTTGACAAAACTGTTGCTTTATTTTCATGGGGAGTGATTCCTGACCTGCAGATTAAAAAGACTGAGGGGAGAAAGGGGCACAAGGAGTTATGAGCCCAAGAGACAGCAGAAAATACATTGAAAATGAACACTGAGGTGCCTTTATTAATCCTAAAGGTACATTTGGGTGATACTGGGGCTAAATTGATGCTAAATGATTTGCAGAAGAGGCACAAATACTTTTAAATCTCCCAATATACATTTTAACGTTTTTCTTTCCCATTTAAGCCGTGCTATGATTACAGCAACCCTTGGAAGCAGCTGTCTGTTGCCAGGCTGGCGCTGGGGCTCTGGCAGTGGAAACCCCACGGTCAGCACCCAGATGGGCACAGCAGGAGTGTCCTTGGGGCAGGCTGGGCAGGGAGGTGTGGGAGCTGGCCCTGACAGCTGGGATGTGGTGCTTTGGGATAACTAAATGAAGTGAAATCCCGATGCCATGGCTGGGGTCTGTGCCCAGCTCTGGGCTGTGCGTGCTTTGGGATAACTAAATGAAATGAAATCCCAATGCCATGGCTGGGGTCTGTGCCCAGCTCTGGGCTGTGCGTGCTTTGGGATAACTCAGTGAAATCCTGATGCCATGGCTGGGGTCTGTGCCCAGCTCTGGGCTGTGCGTGCTTTGGGATAACTCAGTGAAATCCCGATGCCATGGCTGGGGTCTGTGCCCAGCTCTGGGCTGTGCACGCTTTGGGATAACTAAATGAAATCCCGATGCCATGGCTGGGGTCTGTGCCCAGCTCTGGGCTGTGCACGCTTTGGGATAACTCAATGAAATCCCGATGCCATGGCTGGGGTCTGTGCCCAGCTCTGGGATGTGGTGCTTTGGGATAACTCAATGAAATGAAATCCCGATGCCATGGCTGGGGTCTGTGCCCAGCTCTGGGCTGTGCGTGCTTTGGGATAACTCAGTGAAATCCCGATGCCATGGCTGGGGTCTGTGCCCAGCTCTGGGCTGTGCACGCTTTGGGATAACTCAATGAAATCCCGATGCCATGGCTGGGGTCTGTGCCCAGCTCTGGGCTGTGCGTACTTTGGGATAACTCAGTGAAATCCCGATGCCATGGCTGGGGTCTGTGCCCAGCTCTGGGGTGTGCACGCTTTGGGATAACTCAGTGAAATCCCGATGCCATGGCTGGGGTCTGTGCCCAGCTCTGGGCTGTGCGTGCTTTGGGATAACTCAATGAAATCCCGATGCCATGGCTGGGGTCTGTGCCCAGCTCTGGGCTGTGCACGCTTTGGGATAACTCAGTGAAATCCCGATGCCATGGCTGGGGTCTGTGCCCAGCTCTGGGCTGTGCGTGCTTTGGGATAACTCAGTGAAATGAAATCCCGATGCCATGGCTGGGGTCTGTGCCCAGCTCTGGGCTGTGCACGCTTTGGGATAACTCAGTGAAATCCCGATGCCATGGCTGGGGTCTGTGCCAAGGGGGAAGCAGCATTGTGGGACCCCGTACAGGTCCCTGCCCCTGGATCCCATGCAGAGCTAACTGCAAACAAAATCCATGCCATGGCATTAATTACCAGCGCATTTCAAGGTCCTGGCATGCAGGAGCAGCCGTGGGGCGGGTGCACAATGGAGTTTTTCCCTGCAAACAGAACAAATGCTATTTTTGGAGCTGTACTGCATCTCATCGAGGTGTGCTTTGCTTCAAAGCTGCCTGGGTAGGAGTGGGGCTTTGAAGGGGAAGATAAATACTGTAATTAGGGCTGCAGGACAACAAAAGGATTATTCTTACCTATAAAATCATTTGAGTGAAGTTGCTGCAAAGATAATTACACCCAAAACTGCTTGCATGGGTCTCATATTTTCCTTACAAGGACCTACAAGACTCATTGAATATTTATAGGCCTGGAACATGAGACTGGGTGAAATGCAAACCATAAATCCGGGCGCATTTATGATGATGAAATTCCCGCAGTTGCTGGCCAGGCTTGGTGGGAGAGCACAGCTGTGCTGGATGTGCCTGGGCAGTGCTGGGGCTCCCAATGCACACCTTGGGCTGCCAATGCACACCTTGGGCTGCCTCCTTTATTCTCCTGCTCGTGCTCCTGCCACTGCTCCCCCATGCAAATGAGCATGCTGCTCCCCAGATGCAATTTCATATTTAGAGATTAAATACAGCCTGAAAAATCATATGCTAATTACATTCCGAGGGTGTAGCAGAATTTCTCACTTGAACATATTTTGTTTTGCTGGGAATAGCACAAATTCCAGATCAATATATTTATAGTTGGAGCTCAGTAATAAATGTATCAGGCTGCAGAAGAAGCTTTCTGATCATTGCTATTACTAATCACTTACATCAGCTCGGTGCTCAGGCTTCTATCCCACACTGGTTTTGGTTTATTTGCTTTTAAAAACCTGTTTTTCTCAGAAGGTAACCAATTCCATTGGAAGGGGAGGAGGAATGCCAGTCAAGCAGGGCATCAAAATGAGCTGGCAGAGATCTCTGAGAGGTTATGAGGAACAGGACAGCCAGAGGTTGGCTCAGTCGGTTGGAAAAGTCCCTTTTTTATTTTCTATGGAGGTCCCCTGCCATGTGTGATGCTGGAAATGCACCTTGCAGGGTTCCCCTGCAGCGTGTGCAGAGCCAGGAGCCAGCAGGGCACTCCAGGGGTGGTGGGATAAATAAATGTGCTCGGGGGGAGTGCAGCAGGGCTGGGGCTTGAATCTGGGTCTGTTTGCCCTGGGGTTTGAATCTGGGTCTGTTTGCCCTGGGGGTGTTACTGAAGGGCTGAGCAGCCCCAGCACAAAGCAAGGAGGGAATTGGGGAGAAATCAATACACAGCACTCAAACTGCTTTCTTGTTTACTGTACCAGAACCTTGCAAAACATCAAAAATAGAGAGGAAAGCTTAAAACACACTGTGAACTTCATTATTACAGAGGAAAGTCTGACACAACAGCCACTGGATCAACAGAAAACATTTCACAGGCTCTCCTTGGGGCAGGCTCCAGAGCATACAAAGCAAACAGGTTCCCAAGAACAAGAAATTACAAATATGCCCCTCTTTTTTGTTGTTTTGGGTTTTTTTCTCTAGATGCAAGTCCTTGGATGGCAATTACAGACTCAGAGATTGTCCATGGTCCCTGGGCTGGCAGGGATGAGCAGTGTGGACTTTGGGCAGAGCTCAGTCTCACTTTCAGACAAGGCTGCTGCGTTGTATTGGAATAAATACATCCTGAAAAGCCACAAATAAGAACAAACAGTGCCAAAACACACAGCAAATACCTCCAACCCCATCCCTTTGTACAGGTCTCATAAATCTTTCAATAAATAAGCAAATCACAGAGGTACCAAAGGAACTGGCAAAGCAAGAGGTAGTTTATGTAACCAAGCAGCTCTGGCACGGCTCTGGCACCTGGGCCCAGCTCCTGCCCTGTGCCAGGGGCACAATGCAGGTTCAGGGGAGCTGGGCTGCTCTGAGGGGCTGAACAGAGGCCCCTGTGCCCGTCCCTGTGCCCGTCCCTGTGCCCAGGCTGGCTCTGATCCCTGGGCTGCTCTGGGGTGCCTGCAGGAGCTGTGTGTCCATAGTTCATCCTCTGCTCGTGCAGCCGGGCCTCAGCAGGTGTGTGAGTGCCCCTGGCTGTGGGCAGGGGCTGGCAGTGCTGCAGGGTGGGAGGGAGCATGGGCAGAGCATTCCCTGGGACTCTGTGTGCCAGGAGTGCCCTGGGATCACAGCAGCAATGCCCTGGCACTGCCCAGGGAGGGCTCAGAGCAGCAATGCCCTGGCACTGCCCTGGGATCACAGCAGCAATGCCCTGGCACTGCCCTGGGAGGGCTCAGAGCAGCAATGCCCTGGCACTGCCCTGGGATCACAGCAGCAATGCCCTGGCAATGCCCAGGGAGGGCTCAGAGCAGCAATGCCCTGGCACTGCCCAGGGAGGGATCACAGCAGCAATGCCCTGGCACTGCCCTGGGCTCAGAGCAGCAATGCCCTGGCACTGCCCAGGGAGGGTTCAGAGCAGCAATGCCCTGGCACTGCCCTGGGCTCAGAGCAGCAATGCCAGCAATGCCCTGGCACTGCCCAGGGAGGGTTCAGAGCAGCAATGCCCTGGCACTGCCCTGGGATCAGAGCAGCAATGCCCTGGCACTGCCCAGGGAGGGCTCACAGCAGCAATGCCCTGGCACTGCCCTGGGATCAGAGCAGCAATGCCCTGGCACTGCCCTGGGAGGGCTCAGAGCAGCAATGCCCTGGCACTGCCCAGGGAGGGCTCAGAGCAGCAATGCCCTGGCACTGCCCTGGGAGGGCTCAGAGCAGCAATGCCCTGGCACTGCCCTGGGAGGGTTCAGAGCAGCAATGCCCTGGCACTGCCCTGGGAGGGCTCAGAGCAGCAATGCCCTGGCACTGCCCTGGCTCAGAGCAGCAATGCCCTGGCACTGCCCTGGGATCACAGCAGCAATGCCCTGGCACTGCCCTGGGAGGGCTCAGAGCAGCAATGCCCTGGCACTGCCCTGGGATCACAGCAGCAATGCCCTGGCACTGCCCTGGGATCAGAGCAGCAATGCCCTGGCACTGCCCTGGGAGGGCTCAGAGCAGCAATGCCCTGGCACTGCCCAGGGCTGCCCTGGCTCAGCCTGGCCCTGCAGCAGCTCGGCTCTGGGCTGTTACTCTATTGAACAATTTCTGGCTGTTTTTCAGAAGGAACCCAAGGAACCCCAACCCCATCACGTTGCCACCACTCAAGGGCTCTGCTGGCCCTGCCGGTCACTGCAGTCTCTGCACAAGGCTCTGGTAGGTTTTCCTCTCCCCTTCCCAGGAGTGATGCTGCTCCACGTACTCTTTGGCCCTGGTCACAATTTCCTTTTCCAGAGTGGGGTCATTCATTAAACTCTTGGACAGCGCAACAAACTCCTAAAAAAGGTGAAAAAAAGGATCAGTTAAAATTTCTTTGTAAAGGTCCCAATGCTACTGCAGTAGCTGGTACTGTCCAACTGTGAGCCAATGCATGGAGCTGTCCTGAGTCCTTTCTCAAGGTCAAGCACCAGACTTTATTTATAAACAATGACTAATAAATAATAATTTTATTATTTTACACAGCCCACCAACTAAGACATTAAAAATCAAAGACAATTCACATTTAATGACACAGAAATTGTCTGCCTACCCAATGGCTGGAAAGGCAGGCTGGTAATAAATGAATTGCCTGTTCTGTAATCTGGCATCAGATGTTTGAGCTCAGCCCAGCTCAACTTTCACCTCATTGCTGCTGCACCCTCAGTGAATTTCATGGTAAGGCTAAAAAGTCCCAACACAAACCCAGTGTAAGGAAGGAGCAGCATGCAGCACCTGGGCAGGTACAGATACAGCAGGGCCAGCTCAACAAACACCAAAAAACCCCACGTGTTCCCTTGAACTTCACTGGGCAACATACCCAGAGAGCTCAGAGCTCACAACTGTCCTCTGCCTGCTCCTCTGCCTCTCATTGACTCCCAGGCAAGAGAAACTGAACTTCAAACACCTGAAGGGAGATCTGATGTCTGAACTAATCTGTTCTGAGCAGCTGCTCTAATTTTCCATCAAGAGACACCTTCCAGTGCTTCAGCCTGATTGCAAATGTGCTCAGATGTGTGCAGAGCAGGGCCTGGCTTCAGCTCAGAAAGCAGCTCTGGTGGCACTGGGAAATTGGGATAATGTGTTAGCACACAATGGGCAGTGAGGATCAGAGCATGGGGACAGGGGGACACAGAGGATCCATGATTTACACATAAATAATGCCAGCTGTGCAGGGAGATAGCCCAGCTAGGAGCAGAGTTCATCAGCATCAGGTTAGGGACACAGCTATCCTTGAAAATCTAAACACACACAGTGGCAAGCACACAGAGTGCCCAAATACCTGCACAGCTGTCCCTGAACAGCCAGGCACACACAGTGCCCAAATACCTGCACAGCTGTCCCTGAACAGCCAGGCACACACAGTGCCCAAACACCTGCACAGCTGTCCCTGAACAGCTAAACACAGAGTGCCCAAATACCTGCACAGCTGTCCCTGAACAGCTAAACACACACAGTGCCCAAATACCTGCACAGCTGTCCCTGAACAGCTAAACACACAGTGCCCAAATACCTGCACAGCTGTCCTTGAACAGCTAAACACACACAGAGCCCAAATACCTGCACAGCTGTCCTTGAAAAGCTAAACACACACAGTGCCCAAATACCTGCACAGCTGTCCTTGAACAGCTAAACACAGAGTGCCCAAATACCTGCACAGCTGTCCCTGAACAGCCAGGCACACACAGTGCCCAAACACCTGCACAGCTGTCCCTGAACAGCTAAACACAGAGTGCCCAAATACCTGCACAGCTGTCCCTGAACAGCTAAACACACACAGTGCCCAAATACCTGCACAGCTGTCCTTGAACAGCTAAACACAGAGTGCCCAAATACCTGCACAGCTGTCCCTGAACAGCTAAACACACACAGTGCCCAAATACCTGCACAGCTGTCCCTGAACAGCTAAACACACAGAGTGCCCAAATACCTGCACAGCTGTCCCTGAACACCTAAACACAGAGTGCCCAAATACCTGCACAGCTGTCCCTGAACAGCTAAACACACACAGTGCCCAAATACCTGCACAGCTGTCCCTGAACAGCTAAACACACACAGTGCCCAAATACCTGCACAGCTGTCCCTGAACACCTAAACACAGAGTGCCCAAATACCTGCACAGCTGTCCCTGAACAGCTAAACACACACAGTGCCCAAATACCTGCACAGCTGTCCTTGAACAGCTAAACACACAGTGCCCAAATACCTGCACAGCTGTCCCTGAACAACCAGGCACACAGAGTGCCCAAATACCTGCACAGCTGTCCCTGAACAGCTAAACACACAGTGCCCAAATACCCTCACAGCTATCCTTGAACAGCTAAACACACACAGTGCCCAAATACCTGCACAGCTGTCCTTGAACAGCTAAACACACACAGTGCCCAAACACCTGCACAGCTGTCCCTGAACAGCTAAACACACACAGTGCCCAAATACCTGCACAGCTGTCCCTGAACAGCTAAACACACACAGTGCCCAAATACCTGCACAGCTGTCCTTGAACAGCTAAACACAGAGTGCCCAAATACCTGCACAGCTGTCCTTGAACAGCTAAACACACACAGTGCCCAAATACCTGCACAGCTGTCCCTGAACAGCTAAACACAGAGTGCCCAAATACCTGCACAGCTGTCCCTGAACAGCTAAACACAGAGTGCCCAAATACCTGCACAGCTGTCCCTGAACAGCTAAACACACACAGTGCCCAAATACCTGCACAGCTGTCCTTGAACAGCTAAACACACACAGTGCCCAAATACCTGCACAGCTGTCCTTGAAAAGCTAAACACACACAGTGCCCAAATACCTGCACAGCTGTCCTTGAACAGCTAAACACACACAGTGCCCAAATACCTGCACAGCTGTCCCTGAACAGCTAAACACACACAGTGCCCAAACACCTGCACAGCTGTCCTTGAACAGCTAAACACAGAGTGCCCAAATACCTGCACAGCTGTCCCTGAACAGCTAAACACACACAGTGCCCAAACACCTGCACAGCTGTCCCTGAACAGCTAAACACACACAGTGCCCAAACACCTGCACAGCTGTCCCTGAACAGCTAAACACAGAGTGCCCAAATACCCTCACAGCTATAAAACCTTTGGTTGAACTCTGGATTTTTGGGTGAATTCGCTGCTGCAGTGCACAATGCACAATGCAGTGTGGCTGATGGGGAAATCTCTGAGCAGGGGGTGATCCCTGCCTGGGCTCTGCCTGCCAGGACAGAGCAGCAGGAAAATGCAACACCCAGAGCCACAGAGCCCCGCTGTGCTGGGGTTTGTTCCCAGGTACGATGAGGAGATTTTCCTCGCACAGGTGAGCAGTGAGCTCTCATTGTACACCAGAGCAGTGCTGCTGTGAGCTGGGCTCTGGGGAGCTGTGCCCACCTGCCTGGGGCTGCTCTAACCGGGATCTCAGCCCTTCCCTGGGGGATTCTGTGTCTGCCAGGGCTCACCCAGCCCCACAGACACCACAGGAAGGTGGGGAAGTCTCACCTGACCTCTGCTGCCTTCATCCACTTGCCTGGAAAGTCACAGTGATAAATACTGGTCCCACTGAACCACATCCCCAACTTTAATTTTATGCTCCTGTGGAGGATTTTATTTAAAGTAATGTTTTAAAGTAATTTATGTAAATTACCTAAGAGCAGAAGCAGCAATGTAACATTTCTTGACAGGTAGTCCTATTAGCATTCTTTTAAATTGTGGATATGGAGGACAAAAACTTGGAAACATGTAAATGATAGAAGAAATGAGATCCTTATTCACAGTTACAATACTCAGGGCTGAGGATAATTTCAGGAAAAAATGCCAAACTGAGTCCAAAGCCTTCAATTTGAGAAAATGCAGGAGAGAGAAGAAGCAAATGGAAAAATGCCAGGAGGTGGCGAGTAAGGACATGTCAGCTTTATCCTCCTCCTCCTCCTCCTCCTCCTGCAGTGAGACCCCACAGTCACTGCAATCCCCTGGAAGGCAGTGGGACACTCACTGGGATTTACTGGGTTTCACCCTGAGCAGTGGCCTGGCCTGTGTCAGTGAGGGTGCTGAGCTCAGGGAGCAGGGAGCTCCTGCTCAGGGGTCCCCCCTACCCACAATGATTGAATTCCAGCTGTGAATTCCAGCTGTGGGTCTGTGCTGAGCTCAGGGAGCAGGGAGCTCCTGCTCAGGGGTCCCCCCTACCCACAATGATTGAATTCCAGCTGTGAATTCCAGCTGTGGGTCTGTGCTGAGCTCAGGGAGCAGGGAGCTCCTGCTCAGGGGTCCCCCCTACCCACAATGATTGAATTCCAGCTGTGAATTCCAGCTGTGGGTCTGTGCTGAGCTCAGGGAGCAGGGAGCTCCTGCTCAGGGGTCCCCCCTACCCACAAGTGGCTTCCATTCCAGCTGTGGGTCTGTGCTGAGTCTGCACTTGCAGCAAGCAGACATGCACAGCTCTGAGCCCCTGCAGGAAATGCAGCATTGCATTCTTCTGCTTTTCCATCAGCCTGTGATACATGAAGTGATTACAGGGAGGCAGCACACCTCCAGCAGCTGTTCTGCTCCATCTGGGATATTTGCACAAATATTTGTGCACTCCCATATTTTGTTGCAGCTTCAGTTTTGGTGAAAAGGGTCAAATCCACAAATGGCTTTCAGCAATAGGGCTAAGGGCACGGCTTGAGCAGCCCAAGTGAAGGAGGTGATCTCTATCCCAGCTTGCTGCTTGGGGCCATCCATGCTTCAACAAACCCTTATTCCCTCCCAGGAGTGGGGATGGTGAATGTGCAGGTGGAGCAGAGCACAGGGAAGAGCTGAGGCTCAGCTGTGACCACAACCCAGAGAAATGGGAGCAAATCCTCTCCTGTCCCTGCAGAAATTCTCACACTGCCCTTTCCATGGGCAGCTCCACACAAACACAGCAACATCCACAATGCAGCTTCCTCCTGGCAAATTGACCAATCATCCCTAAAGAAAATGTCACCTCCTCTGTGTCTCCTCAGATAAATCCTGTCTGATATTCTGCAGAGACACAGGAACACAGGTACACAGGAGATAAAGCTGGAAATGAGTGCACTGAGTAAAACAGGGTGAAGAATTCCTCAATTACCACCAGAGCTGTGCTGGTGACACAGCTCACACATAATGAAAATAGGGTGCATGGTTAATATATTATTTATATCATGAAAGTAAGTCTGCAATTAAAGCAGTTCAGAGCAGCTTGAGCAGGCAGAAGAAGGAGATTCTCAAAGAGATCCCCAGGGAGGCAGAGGGCAGGTGTGCAGGCAGTGCCACAGGTACCTGGGGGCAGGAAAGCTCTGGGTGGCACAGGAGAGCTCCATGGCACGGGAAAGCTCTGGGTGGCACAGGAGAGCTCCATGGCACAGCAGAGCTGCTGCTCCCAGCCCTCCAAACCCTCACAGGGGCTGCCCAGGTCCCTTCTGTCCCTTCTTAGTGCCTTGGAGGTTTATTTGCCTCCTTCTCTTTATTTGGGTCCTTCTGTGAGCTCTCCCAGACATGGGAGCTGTAATTCTGAAACCTAGCCTGCTGAATAACTTCTTGTGCCCTCCCTTTTAACACAGTTTTGCATTATTTATTGCCCCGTTCTTATCTCTTACTTTTTTTTACTTCAGGTCCCATTAACTCAGTGTCAAATATTCCATAAACTTGCAAATCCAAGCAGCAGCAGGATCAGCCCATGATTTCAGTGATGTGCACAGTGATGTGCACAAATGATGGAGTGTCAGGAACAAAATGAGACATTTCCCATGTTCCTGGAAGCCACAGAAGCTCACTTCCAGCACGAAAAGCCAGCAGCACTCACCATTTACAACAATTCTCACTGCATAATGGGCAATTAATATCCCTCTAATTTGGCTTCCAAAAGACAGCAGGCACAACTGCTCCTGCCCCAGGTACTGCAAAGCTTCCCCTCCTCAGATCAGAAACAGCTGAAAATGAGCATTGCTTATAGAACCATACTGGATTTGGAAGAGTTTTTCTATTAAAATCTTCAAAACCAACCAAGGGGATTCACCTTCCAGAAACACAGCTTAATAGGAAGCATTAATCACACAGTCCACAAAGTAAATAAATAAGATATGTTCTCTACTATGCATAGTTATCAAATGGTGAATTCTAGTATGTGTGTTTAATCTTGAGTTGGATAAAACTCTGAGGGAATCTTTTTCTGGGAGTCATTTTCCATGGCATACATGAATATGTAACAGCAGAGCCCTAATGCAGGAAAATATGCTGGAATGAAAATTTCCAGCATTTAAAAATGGGTAGTGTTCCCTCTCTTCCCACTCTTACTTAACTTCCCTGAGACTTCATCCTAACACTTGGCTTAATTTTATCATTAATTTCTCTGACTGAGCAATATCTTGCCTCTAAAAATACTTTACATTAACAGTGCCTGCTAGAAATTACAGAAAATGTGTCATCCGCAGCTCCAGCTCATTCTCCCGGTGTCTGACACCAGTTCTGCTGCAGATCCTCCTGAAGGGGAGTCTGGCACAGGCTCAGCATCTCCTGCAGGGTTTGGAACTGGAACCCAGAGCAGCTCCGAAAGCTTCCCAAGGCTGACCCCTAGTCCGGGCTCCCTGAACTGCAGAGCAAACACTGCAGGGGACAGGCTGGCACGGAAATGAACCCAAACCTCTGTGCTGCTCTCACCTGGGGAGTGGAGAACAGCAGCCCCGTTTCCTTGTGCTTTATTATTGCTGCATTCCCGGGAATGTTCCTGGCCAGCACTGGAACCTCTAAATCCATTGCCTGCAGGAATATAGAGAAGGAAACCGTTTGTAAGGATTTGTGCATTTTGTGGTGCTAACAATGACAATTTTAATAAGAGAGGCACAAACAACAACCCAAACCTCTTTCCCACCTCTCCAGATTTTTAATTTACAAACACCCTTCCCCAGAGAGCCCTGCCAAGGCACAGAACCCAGACAGAACCCAGCTCTGAGGTGTGCAAAGCCTGGCCCTCAGCTCTGCTGCTCTGGATTTAATCACTTTCGATGGATTGGGCAGCCTGGAGATGCACTGATGTAAAAGCAGAAATATTCATTTTGTGCAATTATCACAGTGTCAGATGGGGAAGAAATTCCCTCCCCCAGATCTTCAATGTGTTTCACACTGATTCCCTGTCACTCAGAGTCAATGCAGTTTTAATTGCTGTCATTACACTCCTGCATGAGGAGCAATTTTGCTTCAGTCCACACGGCAAGGAAACAAAACCCCAAGGAGAAAACCAGGATTTTTTATAGTTTGGACAAAACTGAAGAGACAAACAGCCAGGCTGATAAGGTACAGGAAGGGACTGCTGGGACTTAGCAACATATTTTAATAATTTAAAATCCCCAAGAAATCACTGTTAAAATCACCACTGCAGGTGTACTAGTCTGACCATAGCATTTCCATACCCTGGCACAAACATCTGCTTTGCAGCAGTTAGAGCTAAAAATAACAGCCCTTAATGATCAAACCTCTTCTACACTTGGTATCAGAAACTGCCAGAATTTCTGGGGTCATTCAGACACAGTAATGAAGCTGCAGAGATGGTGCCTGATTGAAGTCAAGCACCAATATTTAATCTTCTGCCATTTCCAAACTCTAAAGGGAAAGACATTTGTTCTGCTCAGACTTGGAGGGCAGGAACTGCTACCCAGGAAAATCCTGAGCTCCCCAAATGCACAGGTACCAGTGAGTTACAGCCACTAAAGGCAGGACAGATGGCCAAAGACTTCAGATGCAGGGCTGCCTTTATGCCACTGGCCTTAACCAAATGGACTGGGCTGTAAATAATTACTGCAAGAAGCGGCTTCAAATTTAATTTAGATACTTAGACTATTTCCAAGCAGTAAAAAGAACCATTTGCATTGTTGAAAAGATGCATAATTTACTGACCTAGCTCCCAGGAATAATAGCATCAAACAACATTTCAGTCCACTGGCCATCTGTTTTGTTCCATTATTTTGAGTGCAAATGTGTTTAGCTGCTCCTGCAGGAGGATGCAGGGTGTAAATTGAAGCTGGGGACGTCCCCCTGTAACATCTCCAGCCAGCAACAAGGGCTGATAGAGCAAAGGCAGGGTTTATTCAGCACTCTGTCTTTGCACTGTCCCTCATTTCCTTCCTTCTAGCCCATGCATCTTCTTGGTGGCTCTTCAATTTTATTGCTTTACAATATTCCTTCATCTTTGGTGTTTTATAATCTGCTCTGGCTGTTATTGCACACTGCCGGTGCTGCACACGTTGGCCAAGAGTGGATTGTGCCTCACAGCACAGCAGAACCTGTCCAGCCTCCTTTTCTACCATTTCTAATTGGCTTCTTGTTGGTAAAAGCCAAATTTTGTATGTATGATTTTGAATCTAACAATTTTTCCGGCAGCTGGAGCATTCCTGGAGCACAGGGAAAGGCTCCAGTGCAAAGGTGCAAACCCTGCTGAGCAGAGGGAACTCAGGAACCGCTCAGCAGTGGAGCCTTTGCCACCACCCGTGGCCAGGAACGTGCCCAGCTCCTGGGCTCCCAGAGGAACAGATGCATTTTTAACGCCTGCTCTAATGCTTTGTTTTCTCCCTTCAAACGCCAAACACAAACAGATCAGTTCCAGTCAGATCTGGGATCTCAGACCCAGCTGACAGAGTCATTAGTGACGGCTCCTGGCTCTCCAAACCTCCAGGCAGGTGGAACTGGATGGGATTATACATTTATCTCATTTATCTATTATATATTTATCTCGCTCTGAAATACTGTTTACACATTCATGACCTTGCTAAATGTTGAACTTTGAGGACAATGAGAGCTGCATTTCCAAACTCCAGCCTGTTTTCTGCAGCCTAGGAGCAGAAGACTTTTATGCGGAGTTTTCTGCCCTATTATCCAACAAGCTGTCAGCAGATGGCCCTTCCTGCTGCTGGCCCTCCCAGGAAAGAACTTCAGTGTCCCGGGCTGCCATTTCTGGGAGAGAGAGGTGTTCCAGCAGGGTTTTATCAGCATGGCTCAGATCCCACTGAACAAACACAGAAATCCCAAACCCTCTGGAATCTGCCCCGATGTCCTGTCAGCCCTGAGCCTGCACAGTTTGTGCCAGACTGAGCTCACAGCCACTGCTCAGAGCCCTTCTGGTTTGCCTGCTGCTGCCTCCCACCCCTGGCACTCTGGGGAAATAAATAAATAAAATAAATCAGGTTGGGTTTTGGTCAAGTGTTCTGTGAGCAGCCCTGAGGGGAGCATGGAGCAGGTGAGGAGGAGGTGACAGAGACTGAACTCCACTGAACTTCTGCAGCTCACCCCAGCCACCCCAGGCTGCCTGGCCTGACACAGCCCAGCTTTGGAAATGCCACAGCCTGGAACTGCAGCACAGAGCTGGGCTGGTGCAGGGGCAGCTGCACCTCTGAGCTGGGCATTAGGGGTGGAAATGCACCTCTGAGCTGGGCATTTGGGATGGAAATGCACCTCTGAGCAGGGACATTTGGATGGAAATGCACCTCTGAGCAGGGACATTTGGATGGAAATGCACTTGTGCTGTCCCACCAGCACCTGCCCTGCCTCGTTCCTGTGATGCTCCCTTGGTTCTTACTCGTGAGGACTCTCAGATGAGTGGAAATGCTGGAAATGCAACTCATTACAAAAGAAATGGGAGGCTCATTTATATTACATAACCACATACAAATGGTGTGATAATTCCTGTGCTCATGATGAACCAACATTCAGCACCCACCAAACAAATGGAATAATGAAAGGCATTTGCCCAAAGAACTTCACTTCAAGTACAGTTATTTTTTTCCTGAGAAAGCACTTGATACTAAGCTGCGCCCTACTTTGACAGGTATGAAATAAAACTGGTTATTAATTTTCAATACTGATGGCAAAAGGATTAACTGAGCGTGTCATTCATTCATTAATCATTTCAGAATTAAATAACCAAATACAGTTCTTAGATTGCTTTTTGAAGGGATGTAAAAATAAATGAAAGTCCATTCTAGCAACATTATAAGGAAGTGGGTGTTGAATCAAGCTCAGTGACAACCCCAGGAAATCAGAGTGATTTCTGCATCTCAGGTCTGCATTGTTAATTTAGCAGGATTGATAAAATTACCTTCTATCCTTTAAAAATAAATAGAGAAAACATAACAAACTGTCAGTTCAGGGGAAGAAAACCTTAATTGCTAACACTTGAAAAAGGAAATGTTTTAGTTTTGCCCTCCCTAGCTTTGGACTGTGTCCATGAAGCACTGACAGCCATTCCCAGTGACAGAGGGTGTCACTGGGGGTAAAGCTCTCAGAACAGCCCCAGCAGGTGCCTCACCTCCAGGATGGCAGCAGACATGCCCTCGGAGCTGGAGCTGTTCACCAGGGCCAGGCAGCAGCGCAGGGCGGCGTGCAGCTCGGGCTGGGGCAGCTCCTGCAGCACGCGCACCCCGGGGGCCCTGCGGGGACAGACAGAGGGACAGACAGGGCTGATGGAACCCCTCCGTGAGCGGGGGGCGCTGGCACGGGCTGCCCGGGGCCAGCGGGGATCCCCAGCCCCGCCCGAGCTCAGCCTGGACAGGGCTGGGGCTGCCAGGGTGGGACTGGGGGAGCTCCAGCCAACCCAAACCCTCCCATGGTTCTGTCAGTGGTAAATCTACATCAGAGCCAATCAGATGTGGTTTAACCCAAAACATCAGCATACTGCTTATTCTAGAGTTCAATGTCGGGAATTCCCGGTCTGAGATGGTTCCATGCCAAAGGGTCCTGACAGCCTTGTCAGTCCCACAGAGCTGTGCGTGGACATCTATTTGTATTTACCTGTGCAGGGACTCCCATTTGTATTTATATGTGCATGGACACCCATTGGTATTTAAATGTGCATGGACACCCATTGGTATTTACCTGTGCAGGGACTCCCATTGGTATTTATATGTGCATGGACACCCATTGGTATTTAAATGTGCATGGACACCCATTGGTATTTATATGTGCAGGGATACCCATTGGTATTTACCTGTGCAGGGACTCCCATTGGTATTTATATGTGCAGGGACTCCCATTGGTATTTACCTGTGCATGGACATCCATTGGTATTTACCTGTGCAGGGATACCCATTGGTATTTACCTGTGCAGGGACTCCCATTGGTATTTACCTGTGCATGGACATCCATTGGTATTTACCTGTGCATGGACACCCATTGGTATTTACCTGTGCAGGGACTCCCATTGGTATTTATATGTGCATGGACACCCATTGGTATTTAAATGTGCAGGGACTCCCATTGGTATTTAAATGTGCATGGACACCCATTGGTATTTACCTGTGCATGGACACCCATTGGTATTTACCTGTGCATGGACACCCATTGGTATTTAAATGTGCATGGACACCCATTGGTATTTATATGTGCAGGGACTCCCATTGGTATTTACCTGTGCAGGGACTCCCATTGGTATTTACCTGTGCATGGACACCCATTGGTATTTACCTGTGCACGCACACCCATTTGTATTTACACGATTAAAAAGGGGCACCAGCTGCCTGCCTTCAGCACAGAGCAGCTTTAACATGAACTCCTTACCTTTTAACTCTCTCCTCAACTTCACTGGTAAACAGTGGATCAACCTGGACAGGAGCACACACAGAGTCAGTGGCACTGCAGCTCATGTTTGAAACACGCAGAGAAATGAAGTTCAGCACATTTTTATCTAAAATACTTTAAATGCTGAGCTTTAAATCATCCCACAGATGTGTTACTCAGTTGTGTCAAAGCTTGGTGTGACACCTCCCGTGTGAGTGAGGGCAGGGCACTGATGTGCCCAGGGACTGTCCTGTACTCACTGAGTAAAAATGGGCTCCAGGGGCTCAGGAGGCAGCCTGGCTGCAGCTGGGACACTCACAGGGATGCTACTCACATGTTCTGGCAGAAAGACTTGATGGAAATCTAACAAACACAAAATTCTAATCCCCAGTAAATAATTAACACAAAATTCTAACCCCAGTAAATAACAAACAGTCATGAGTAAAAAACCCAAAAGGAGCTCTGAGAGGAAGCTGAATGCTTTAAACAAAACTTTAAAGTTTTGTGGCCTTAACTTTTTTTGAAGTTTCATAAGCTCCTATTCTTGGAATACGGAGCTGCTGAAAATTAGCTGCTGTTCCAGATTTCATTATAGGAATGAACAAAAGGAAAGCTGGAAGTGGAGACAAACGGTGAAAGTTTTACATAACACAGACCCCAATCCTGCAACATTACCTCGACTGCACCACCTGAGACAATCAGGCACAGAAAATCCAGGGAACAGAATACAATCTTATGGCAGCAAATAGATCATCTCATGGAGGTAAAGCAGAAAATAGAGTGGGGGCCTTTGTTCTTTCTCTTCTTAATTAATATACTCTTACTGAATGGGCTTTTATATTCACAATAAAAATTACATGCTTCATAGATGGTGGCACTGATTTTCTAAAGATTTTTTTGGTTTGAGAAGCAACCTGAATAAGAAGAGTACAGCTAAATACCAACAGAGCTGAGATGCATTTTTTCCTTTAGAAATATTTTAGTTCCATGAGAGAAATATGCTCTAAAGTGTTTTAAGGAGGTTCAGCCCTTGATCCAGTCTGTGCACTGCCACTGGGCTATTTCTGGCCTGTAAAGACATTAGCTTGTGAGAAAGTGAAGCAGAATTAGAAAGACAACTGAAATGTTTATAAATCCTCACTGGAGGCAGCAAGTGCATCTTTTGACTCTGCAGCACAGCTTCATTACACCTGCTCTAGGTTTGCCTTCCACACCAGTTCACTTCCACATCATTTTGTGTATTAGTGTGGAAAAAAGCCCAGATAAAACAAAAATGTAAAAACAGCTTTTAACAATAAAATCCTATGTCCCCAAATTTGCAAAGAATGAAGCCGAATGAGAAAATAGAGAAATTGTTCTTATTTGCCTATTGAGTGTCTATTTGTTTTTTATAAAGCAGATTGCCTGCAAGTTTTCAGGCTCGTGTGGAGATGAATCAGAGATGAGATGATACAGAGGGAACACATCACCCAGATGAGCCAGGGAGGCTTTTAGTCCCCTCCAAGCAGCAGAGAGAGTTTGTCTCACATGGCACAGCTGCCTCCTCAGAGCTTCTGCCTGCTTGAACCAGGGCTGCAGGCTGCCTTTTCCAGCCCTGTGCTGCAGGATCCCTGATTTCCCTCTCAAAAACCCTGCAATTACTTGTGTAACTTCAGCACTAAGTTCCACTGGCAGCACACAGAGCAGAAGAATCAGGACAGAGGCAGAACTTTAGGATTATTCTCAGATGGGGATGTATAAAACCCTCAGTTTATCCAGGCTTTGGCGCTCCGAGGTTCTGAATGGCCAAGGAGCTGGGCTGGGTTTGTGAGCTGCAGCCCTGTCCTTGCTGCTGGTGCCAGACAGAGGCTGAGCCCCATTTTATTTGTGTTAATTGTGTCTGAGCCCAGCAGCGGCAGCAAAGCCCGGCTGGAATGGAACAAGGACAGTGCTGCACGTGAGCAGAAGTGAGAACAGGGATAACAGCACTGAAACACCTTCACAGCACTAAAATCCTCATTAGCAGTGCCTGTGGGAAAACATCTCCTGGATGGCAGCTGCTGCCTTTCAAAACACTTGATAGGCTCATTTCTAAGTTATCCCTACTGGAATGGGCATTGCTAGTATTTGATTTACAAAAGCACACATTTTATCAGTTTGTGAGTGTCTAAAAGCCCACAGGTGTAGCAGCAGTGGCCAAGAGTGGAATCCAAGTGTTCTGCTGGTTTTTCTGTTCAGAACTGCTCCCTGGGATGGAGGGGAGCAGGGAGGAGGAACAGGCTGGGCTGCCTCAGTGCCTGCTCTGGAAAGGCCTGGGAGCAGTGCAGGAGCCCCTTCATGGGCAGTGCTGAATTGGGGTATTCTGGCCCCTTTATGGCCAGTCCTGGACTGTGGAATTCTGGCCACTGAAACCCTGCCAAGCTCAGACCTGGTGGGAAGAGCCTTTCCAAGGTCTGGAGCTTCTCATCTCTAACAGAAACCCTCAGAGCCAGGATCAGTTTGGAGGAGAGCTGAGGCATCTCAGATGAGGTAAATGGAAATATTTAGAAATAAAAATTACAGCAGCTACTTACTGCAGGTCCAATAATGCCCAGATGGACACTGGGATCCTTTCTGTGCCACTCTGAAACAGAAGAGGAACAACTGTTTTATTAATAAAAATTATTACTTTTTTAATCAGTATAAATAGCTCCATGGTTAGAGAAGAATTAGACAAATATTGTATTGCTACTTAAAAGACTGAATGTGCACAAGATTCACACTCAGCCCTCACATTACTCCTCAGAATTCAAATATTAGCATATCTGAAAGTTAGTATTTAGCCTTTCTGCTTCATGCAATCTCTTCTGACTCAGGGGTTATTTAACTAAGCTCAGATATTAATTTTGAATCACTCAGGAGAACAATGCTCTGTATAATGCAGTGGTTCTGGCCACGAAGCCACAATCACTTGAATATTTTCCTGTGTCAAGGAACGTGTGGAAGCAACTGCAGCCATTACAATCATTACTCAGTGATATGCACAAGAGACATCTGCTGCTTTTTGAACCCAGAACAGACCAGTGCAGCTCTCTGCAAGCTGCATTGTTCCTCAGCACCACAAGGCTCCAAGGGCTGTAAAAGTCACTTAAATGTGCAGGCTGGATTTGCAGCTCAGAACGCCTGAACCTGGTACAGACACAAACAGAGCCTGACAAATATTCCCTTTTGTGCTCCCAGGAAACTTCAGCCTAGTCTGAGCGCTGAGCCAGAACAATGGGTGGTAAAACTTGTTTGCAGCTTCAATGGCATTAATTAGCACACATGCAAATCAATGTAACAGCCACGGGACAGCAAGATAAAAAAGTGATTTTGAAGTAGACGATCTTTTCTTTTGTCTTCCATCAATATTGCATGTAACAGCAAAACAGTTTTCTCAGCAAGCAAAATCATCAAATATTGCTTTGATTTGAATGCTCTGTTATTCCCAGCAGGATGGAAAAGACATGGCACAGAAATAATGTGTGGAACAGATCAATGGTTACATAAGAATTGCTTTTTTCAAATGTAAATATATGATGATGTTTCCTGCAATGAACAAAACAGCCCATGCCAAACTTACCAACACGAGAAGAATGCAGTGAGTGACAACAGGAACGTTCAAATGGCCAGAACTCACCTGAGAAAGCTTCCACCAGGTACAGAGGGTCCTTCACTCTGCGCAGCCCACACACCAGGAGGAACAGATGCACAGGGCCTGAGTCTGCAGGGATGCCTGGAAATGATTGTGAAAATCAGCCAGTGGGGCAGGGGGAAAGCTGAACACTGCCAACTGCTCCATCAGCGAGCACAGACAGCGGTAAAAGCAGCAAAGAGTGGATCATGAACAATTGTCATTCTTCCCCCTGTTTCCTGCTCTGAAACAATCCCAGATTGAGGATGTGCATCACTTTATAGGGCACAGGGGTTCCTTTGCAGAGACAGGCAATGTGCAGGACTTGGAGAAAGCTCTGGTGCTGTTCTTGGGCCCCAGAACCAGCTCTGGGCCCTGAGATGGACAGCTCCAGGGGGCTCTCAATGGTTTTACCCCTTAGGCTGAAGAAGTTTTTCCTGAGCTCCAATCTAATCCTGCCCAGCACAACCTGAGCCCATCTCCTGAGGCCATCATCTCCTCCTGAGCCCATCTCCATCTCCCCCTGCCCTGCTGTCGTCCCTGCAGAGGACAGGGCTCTGACACTGACACTCTACATTGGGCCATTATCCAAACCTGCACAGCAAAACAGGAGCACAGGCAGCAAACACAAAGCCTGAATTGTCAACACTGACTAATTTCTGCAGCTTCAGCAGGGACATGGTTTTTCTAAGAAAGGCAGGAATAAGTACAAGTGTTATCTAAAGAGATTTTGGAAGTGTAGATTCATTTAACTCCATCCCTCCAGGTACTATCAAGAAAAAAAAATGCAGCAGTCATAGGTGCACAATAAAAATAAATGTATTACTGCAAATCTTTAATCTTACTGAAAGCTGCAGGCCTGGAATTGAATGAGTAATACCAAGCATCGGCTTGCTGAGAGGTAAAGAAGAAGATTTAGAAATTAATTTTCCAGGGCCTGATTTCAAGTTCACTGTTGTTCTCTACAGACCTTCAGAGAACAACACCAAGCCCACGTTATTTAGGTTATTGGTCCATTTCTGGTTCTGTTCAGAAACAAAACCTAAGCCATGATGAGATGGTGAGGGAGAATAACCTGATTTTCTTTCCTGGTCATTTTGAAAAGATTTCATTTATCCACCTCCTGAGCACCTGACAGCACTGACTGCTGTCCTCAGAGAGGAAATCCATCAGTTTATGGCACCACCAGGAGCCCAGCCACCCTCCTTTCAGCAATCCCAAACTGATTTTCCAGCCCCCAGACGTTCATTCCTGTGCCATGTCACCCCACACAGCAGTTTGCTCCCTCCAAGGTGAGGGGCAGTGACTTCACCCCAAGTGCTCACACTGCCATTCCCAGCCAGCAATGCTGGGGCTGCTGATGTCCTGGTGAAGACAGAGTTAAATGAACCTGGAAACTTCCAGGGACAGGCTACTAATGCAGGAAAAATCAGACTGCAAAATTCTCAATCAATTCTTCTCTCCCCTGTTTCTCATTATTTCTAACAGATCAGACAACAAAAAGCTCTGCACTTTCAGATCACTTTGGGAACTCAGTTTATTGCTGCTATCATACAGGTTTTACTACACTCAGCTGGATAAGTGCACAAACTTTTACTGATCAGTTTTTCTTATGTGGGTCTCTCTTTCCAGCACAGCTCCAGGAAAATCTAATGCCTCTGTAAAACCCTGCCTGTGCCACGACAGCTTATGTAAACTTCTCAAGCTCAGACAACAGCCCTGCCACCAAGCAGAAATTACAGGAGAGCTGAAAACTCAAACTACAAAAGCATATAAATAAAACATATTGCGTGTTTTATTTGCTGCTGCAATAGGCATGTGATGACCCTGAGGTTCCACAGCACCATGGGAGCAGCTTTAAGCCCTGTTTGTGGGCTAAACAAAGATTTCTCAGTGTGTTAGCGCAGGCTTTGTTGGTTATCTGCATCCTCTCATCACATGATGTTTACTGGGGTCTGTATCTCAGCCCCACTGAGAATCAAAGGCAGCTTTTCATCCTGCAGTGATGACCTCAGGCCTGTGATCAGAGCTGCTCTGCCCCAGCCTTGAGCTGCTGCAGATCAGTCTCAGGTTTATCCTTCTCCTAAACTGCCTTGTTATTTTCTGTCAGTCTGTCTCCAGCACGAGGCTGAACTTCCCCTGACTCTCCCAAGTCTATAGATAGGACTTCTAAAACTGCTAACCCCAAACAGACCGTGCTGCACAGAGATCCCTGCAATGCAAGGTCAGGGAACACAGCCTGATCATCCTGCTCTGGCCTCCAGGCTGACACAGGCAGCAAAACCCCCTGGAACAGGCCGAGCTCCCAAAGGGGCTGCAGGTGCTGGGTTCCCAAAGAGAAGCTGCAATCTCTCTGGGTTCAGCCTCCTGCTTTGGCTGCTGCTGCTCACAGTCTCTCAGCCACACAAGCAAACTGTGAAGCTGACTGTTAACCACAATGCAAATTTACTCTAAAAGCCTTTTTTTGTGGGTTTAGCCAGTGAATGCTGACTAACCAGCCCCTGGAGATTCTGCAATAACCCCACACCATCATCTCTGCAGCTCCCGCGTCTGAGACTATGAAAAAATACCAATTCCATTATATTTGTACTGAGATTGTACTGCACCCATAATAATAATAATAACAACAGCAAAAACCCTTCACAGCACTGCTTCCATTTGTGTCAGGCAACTGCTCTTTACATTGGCACCCAAACTATGAAATGGAGTGCACACAAAGCTGGCATTCCTCAGAGTTTGGTTTAGCACCATTCAGATCTTGGGGCTGCACCTCTCCCACCACAAAGTGCATTTGGTGCCTCCTGCCACTCAAAGCCACCACTAAACTCCTTGTGAAGCCATTGCATTGATTTAAAGAGGCTGTTTGGGTATTGATGTCATATTTAAAGTGAGTAAATGTTTCCTCTGACTGACAACATCAGTCCAATGAATATTCACAGGAAGCCTGTTCTGTGGAGGGAGGTCTGGATCGTTCTGAATAACCTGCTTCAGTAGAGACAACAACCTGGCACCCTGCACACCCAGGGTGTTTCACAGAGATGCCTCAGATGGAATAAATCCTGCACTGCAGGCTGTGAGCTGTGCTGGGAATCCTGAATGTGACAAATGCTCAGGGGCTCTGCTAAAGACACAGGCAGGGGTTACCTGCAGAAATGTTTCTCCCAAAAATCATCCAGTGCCTTCAGACATGGGATAAAACTTCATGAAAAAATGTTCAAAAAAAACCCCTCACAAATGCCATAAATGCCACGAGCTGAAGGAGACTGGGCAGCTTCATCTGCATTGAAGCTCAGGGTCTTTTCACATTGTGCAAGCCCACACTGCCAAAATCACATCCTCCTGAGCAAAACTGCCTCCTGCTGTTGAGGGTTTGCTTCTGACTGCTCCAGGTTTAGTGGAATTTTAAACACTTTGGAACTGCAAATGCCCAGAACAAAGCGGCTCACTGGGAGCTCCTAATTAGTCCCTGGAAAGCCAAAGGTACAGCCAGAAAGCCTGAGCCCATGTGCAGTGTTAAAAGAAGTGGAAATTGTGGGCTGCCACCAGAGATGGACACAGGCACCAGGCAGAGGAGATAAATCAGATGAAGCAGTCATAAAAACAATACTGAATAATCTGATGCCAGTTTCCAAGTTATTATTTAATAAGGCACAGATGTTAGAGTCACATTTTAGTTTGCTTTTCATGTACATTATGAATTATTTTGCACTTTTGCATTAGCACACATTAGGCAAAAAAACTGTCTCTAATACATTAGAAATTCACTTTAGGGGGAATCTCCCCCTCCTCAATCTGTTGACTGCTCATTTAATCACAAAATGGTTGGACAAGAGATCAAATCAACACTGAGGCTGTGCTAGCAAGTGACAAATCATTTCACTCCAGACAATCATTAATCTTGGGGGCACTGTGATTTTCCGAGAACAAAATAACCTCACAGTGCTCAGCTCCAGACTGCCCCTGGCTCTGGGGGATGGCTCCCATCTCCTGAGGGGATAAAGCACAGGGGAGGATTCACCTGCAGCACGGGGAACAGCTGAGATCAGGCTGATGGATGTAAAACTGAAACGTTTCCACCGGGCTGGAATGCCCATAAATCACCTTTGGGGAAAGATGGAGGAATCAAAGATTGCCACCATGGGGTGACTCAGAATTAGGGCCCCGCCTCACCTGCTCAGGTGAGAGCAGAGCAGAGCAGAGGCAGCTCCAGCCCAAACAAACAAACACCAGCACTTCTTCCTCCTCCTCCTCCAGCCCAACCAAACACCAGCATTCATTTCTCTCTGCACTGCTGCAGGCAGCCCAGGCTGGGACAGAACAAAGGCTGGGACAGAACAAAGCTCAGGGACTTGTGCTGTGCTCCCCAGGGACCTCCAGGGCCCTGCCCCAGCCTGGAGCTCTCCTGGTGCAGCCCAGCCCTGGCCAGAGCACAAATCCAGAGCCACTCTGGCTGCTGGGTGGCCCAGACTCATCTCATGGATGTTCTGCCATTTCCCATAGAGTTAAGGCACTTTGTTACATGATTAGTTATTATTATTAGCTCTGATTCTAAGTTTCTTTCATCCTTGACGCCTATTAGGAAGGTGTCAAGGAATTAGGAATAAACCCATTAGGGATAAACACAGTAAACAAAGGGAAAATGAGTTTTACCTGCATTTTGTAGAAATTGGTACCAGTCAAATGTTTCACTGGGTGTAGCCTTGATTCCTGTGTAAAAAAAGGAGATCCCATGTTAAATGTCCCCTGCATGGCTGAGCTGTGGCTCCTGAGGCTTTGGGAAGTGCAATAAAGCAATTATTTCTGCAGGCACCCTGAACTCCCCTCACAGCAATGCCAGGCTGTGCAGCCGTTCCCCAGAGGGAAATTTCCTCCAGTGGGAAATGCTGTACAATCCCCCAGTGCTGGGACCTTCCAGCAACACAGCCCTGCTAAATCTGCCTGGTAAAACCACACCTGGGACAGCATCACCTGAGGGGGGACATCATTCCAGAACAGATCCAGGGCAGCTGCGACACAGAGCCCTCAACACAGAAGGAAATAAATCACATTTATACACAACTTTAATATTAATCTGTCCTGAATATTAATGAATGTGCTTTTCCTTATGTTAAAGATTAATTACTTTAATGATGAAACTATTTTATTAATTTATTTAATCACTTATTAAACTATTACCTCCCAAGAGACTTAAATATAAACTAAACACGGGCTAAACAGACTTCACAATGAGCAATTTCAACAGCACAGCCTGGAAAAGGATGTTACTTTCTTTGAAAGCGAAATACACAAAGTGGAATGAGTTTTGGAATGCAGAGACAGCTATTTTTAATTAAATAAATGAGGAAATGAAGCCATCACACCTAAAATACTGAGCTGTGCTCCCTGGACTGTCAGTGGTGTACTTGGCCCTCACTGGGCTGGGAACTCACCCTGGAGCATTTTAAGGAATTTGGGGCTCCAGGAAAGAATTCCCCACCCTCAAACCCTCTGCAGCCTTCGGAGAAGCTCAGAGCTGCCCCATTTCAGCTCCCTTTGGGATTTCTGCTGGAGGGGAGCTGGGAAAGCATCCACAGAGCACCCAGGGAGGGGAAACTGAGGCACAGAGACTGAAATTCTGCCGCAATTAAGGGCAGAGGAAAAAGCTCAAATTAGGGAGCAGAGCAGAGCAGCCCATGGGTCAGGGCAGGAAGGCAGGTACATCACAAACCACAGGAACCACAGGCAGGGAATCCTTCAGCAGGATCTCAAAGCTCTCACCTTGGCTTTGGACATAAATTTTCTTCCGAGCATCTGGCTTTAAAGAGAAGGAGAAGAAAAAAGCTTTCAGAGTTCAACATGAAAATATCTGTTCAATCCTCAAAAAAACCCCACACTAAAGGGCAACAAAACACATGTCAGTGTGATTTTCTTCCGACTATTGAAAATCAAAACTATTAGATACATTTAGTAACTCCAAAAGCCAACAATGTAATTTATATTTACTATGTCCATTTACAGTATCAATGAATCAATTTTGCAAGAAACACAATTACCAAGTTAGTACAAATATATATATTTTTAGTTTGTCTCTGTATCCTCTCTTATGATCATTACCCTGTTTTTCTGGAATAAAACAAATTTCAACTGTCTAGCTGAAAATCAGCACTAGTTCCCAAAAAGCTGTTGGTCTTGGAAGACTGGTTTTGAAAATCCAGTTTATATTTATCTATAATACAATTTATAAACATCTCAGTTTCAGAAACTGCTGTCAAATATAAGACAAAGACTTGCCTAGACTGGAAAACTGGTGCTTGGTGGTTATTGCAGAACAGTCACAAATAAAAATTACAAAATAAATTACCTTAAAATAGCTGTAGTAAAAGAGGTAATTACTACACTTCCAAAATCACTCCTGAAGCGCTGTTATTTAATTTAGGTGATTAAAGAAGCAATTTCCTATTTCAATATCTTTCTATAACTCCAACTGTGGATTTGTGGAATAATTTTTTTTTTTAGTGAAAAGAAAATCAGTTCAGAAAGAAACTTCAATTCTTGAACCAGTCAGCTCAGGAAATAGGAAGCCACAGAAGTGATTTTTTTTTTAAATTGCAGAGATTTTGGTTTTCCCTGTTGCTCCTTTGTGGCTGCCCCTCAGTCCCCTGCCCAGGCTCTGCAGTTACTAAAAATGAACTGGGAAAAGAAACTGGAAGAAAAGAGGTCACTAAAAAAGTCATCTCCAAGCAGCTCACAGATGGGGAGGAGGTGGTTTCTGAGAATCAGGGTGAGCAATGTCACCAAAATTACACAAAAAAGCAGCAAATCCACACGGGAATGAAGTGGGGGAGAAAGAAACAGCTCTGCGCTACCTGGGGATATTCCATGGACTTCATCTTCCTTGAGCTTTTGTGTTCAAAGGATTTAAAATAATAAAAATAGTTTAACACATCGTCACATCATTTTATTACCTAACAGCGGACCTTCTCTGACTAACACTTTGAATTTCCCAGCATGATAAAAATGATAAAATGATAAAAACCTCCTGCAAGCAATGGGACAGCACTGCCAACCCCAGAACTGAACTCTGCAGGAAAAGGGAGCAAAACAGAGAAAACCAGGAAAAAGGAGGTGGGAAAAGCAGGGGGCAGCACCTGAAAACACCAAGTTAAGAGAGAATTTCAAGTTCAGCATCCTCGTTCCTGCCCTGCAGGACCCCAGAGGGCTCAGGGAGCAGAAACAGCCCTGGAGGCTCTGAGAGCACTGGGACAGGGCTCAGGGATGCACTCACTCTTTATAGATCAATTTTCTCTTATGCTTTATTCTAAATGGGCTTGAGGAGAATGGGAAATGAAATGAATGCTAATAAAAGTGGCTTAGGTAATTCCTCTGCACCAGTTTTATGCTCCTGAAATAAAAATCTGACCATGGGCACGAGATCTTTTACAGCATTTCAAACTCACCTGGAGTGCAGATCATTGCAAGGGCTGGGTTATACACTTCAGAATTAAGGTAATTTATCCAATGAAATGGAAGAGAATTTTTTGGAAGAGACAGCCTTTGGGCACAGTGCAACTGCTGACATGTCTGTGATGTACATTCTTGGGTGATATCCCAGCTAATGGAGCCCCATTGGAGGAGCAGGGCAGCTCAGAGCAGTGTGAGCTCACATGTAAATACCGTGAATATCATGAAAATCATCAATAGGAGCTGTGGGGGAAGGACGTGCTCATACCCCTCACTGCCTGGAAGCAGCAAATCTGAGCCTTTTGCTCTGAGCCTTCCCACAGAGCCAGCAGGGCAGGAGCCCCAGCCCTCAGCACATGCCAGCAGCTGGATTTCAGTTCAGGATGGGGCAGATCTGCCCGCCATTCCCTGCAGCTGGATTCCAGTTCAGGATCAGAGCATTTCAGGCACAGGCAGCAGCTGGATTTCAGTTCAGGATGGGGCAGATCTGCCCGCCATTCCCTGCAGCTGGATTCCAGTTCAGGATCAGAGCATTTCAGGCACAGGCAGCAGCTGGATTTCAGTTCAGGATGGGGCAGATCTGCCTGCCATTCCCTGCAGCTGGATTCCAGTTCAGGATCAGAGCATTTCAGGCACAGGCAGCAGCTGGATTTCAGTTCAGGATGGGCCAGATCTGCGTCCAGTTCCCTGCCCCAGACCCCAAACCCTGCATCACTCTCACAGGCCCCCAGTACAAAGTGTTTAGGTGAAATCAAAGCCTGGTACCTAAAAGCATTTGAGGTGCTGATTCTGGAACTATTTCAAAGCTCAGTTTGGTTTCCTCTCCTTACACACTGTTACTTTTGTCCTTTTCTTGCTTAATATCCCTGACAGAAGCTGTGCCCTTTCCCTTTAACCCATCATGAAGTTCACTGCAGTAACTATTAAAACCAAATCACATTTGTAAAATAAAATACCAAATCCCATCTCTGCTCATGTATCCTTTCAATAAAAACAGATTTTAAAAATCAATTAATGCTGGAATAAGGCATTGTATATCCTGCACTCTCAGTGATTATTTTTGAGACAAGAGTGCATTAATGGTTGTCCTATGATGCAAATTGGAACTGAAAAGGTGCCGAGCACTTTGTTTTAACTTCTTGCATTAATTGTTCAGCCTCAGCTGGTGTTTCCAGGGTGAGGTGAGTGAGCCAACACCTCCTGCAGGAGGGAGCTCCTGCCTTGCTGCTCCCATCCCCAATGGCTCCTGCTCACCCCTCACTGGTCTGCTGATCAGCACACAGAAAAATCAAATCTAATTTACCTCTGCAGCTCCCCTTAAGAGGTTCACTCTGTTCCCAGAGTTGACCAAACAAGTATTTTCAAATTATACCTCCAAATTCTCTATTGTAACTAGTGCTGTCTGGAGGAATTTTAAAGTTTAGTTAATGATGCCAAAAGAAACAATTTGGCATCAGGAGAGACTTGGTAATAACAAATGATTTGTGTTAAATGTTACAGAGAAACACTTCCTGAGCTGCTCCACACTCTCTGCTAATCCTAAAGAGCTTTTAATGCCAGGCCCCTCTGACTGCACATCAGCATGAAATGCTCTCTCCGAAAGGACAGCAGGGCTGGGAACAATGCAGATTATTGCAATTCTCTGCATATTTAGGGCACACTTAGGAGCATGCATATCTGCTAATACAGTAAGCACTGCCACTCCAACATACCCACTCTGCTGCTGCCAGCTCCTTCATTTCCACCGTGAAAGCCACCGCAAACCTGGTTAGGGGGACAAAAATAGTTGGGATCATCTGCTTAAAGTGTTTAAACGTTAAAAAAAGTACTTCAGAAAAAAACCTTGATAAGAACTAAGATCAGAGGCTTACAGAGCTGATCCCAGCTGAAAGACAAAAGCAGGCTTTGCACTTGCTCCAGCAGGAAATTTGGTTAAACCAGCAGCAGCTCCTCAAGCTTTGCACTTGTTCCAGCAGCAAATTTGGTTAAACCAGCAGCAAATTGTGCTTAAACCAGCAGCAAACCCTGGTTAAACCAGCACAAATCCTGGTTAAACCAGCACCAAACCCTGGTTAAACCAGCACAAACCCTGGTTAAACCAGCACAAACCCTGGTTAAACCAGCAGCAAACCCTGGTTAAACCAGCACCAAACCCTGGTTAAAGCAGCAGCAAACCCTGGTTAAAGCAGCACCAAACCCTGGTTAAACCAGCACCAAACCCTGGTTAAACCAGCACCAAACCCTGGTTAAAGCAGCACCAAACCCTGGTTAAACCAGCACAAACCCTGGTTAAACCAGCACCAAACCCTGGCTAAACCAGCACCAAACCCTGGTTAAAGCAGCAGCAGCTCCTCAGGCTTTCCTGGGAAGGTGAAGTGGGGATTCCTCAAAGAGAACCCCAAACAAGGGCACAGCTGCCAGTTTGCCCAAATTAATGCTCACAGCAGCAGCAGGATTCCCACAAATGCTGAACTAGAACTCCTGCTTTCGCTGGGTGAAACAAACCTTATTCCCCTGCGTGTGTTCTGTAGGATCTGCTTTAAGGCCCTGCAATGGATTTCACACCACAAGCTGCCAGCTTTGAGGGTATTAAAGCCCCTGCAAACGCTGCCTTTGTCAAGCTGCATATGCTCCCTCCCCAGATCGTGCAATTATCCTTTCAACACATCACATTAACAAGCATAAAAAGATGTCACTTCTAAGTCTACAAAATACTGTTCAATAGGAAAAAAAATACCCCAGAGGGGTACAAGCACCATTTAGAGGGATTTGATTAAAAATGAAACACTCATAAGGCCAGACAGTGTTCAATAGTTTGTTTTATGGAATGTGCTGGGATATTGTACTGGACAAGTAATCTACAATTCATGATGCTTTCTGCTTAGAACCCTGCAATCAATAAAGAAAAAAAATCAATGTTTCTTTTAATAACCATGCAATGAATAACAGCAGTGATGCTACTGGAGAAGAGGCACATTCAGAATAACTTCTGGAAAACTGAGATGCTTTTCCTCTAGTAGAGAAAATATTGTAAACTGCACAGGGATGTCATAATACATTTTGAAAGATCATAGATAATTCAAGCTGTTAAGGTATACTTCAGGTTCCCAACTCAATAGCATTAAAAAACATTCAGTAAAGCAGATTTTGTATTAGGTGTATTTGTGACAGATGATATTTTAAACAGAGATGGATCAAATGGGCACACTCAGAGATTGTTTTTATGTATTTCTCATTTTGCACAGTGCTGAAATCCATCTGGCACATTAGATATCTTTTTCTTTTCCTTCAGACCTGTTTAAAGAACAACTTCTGATTATTTGATAACAAAAGTAAACAAGTACATAAATTTTTTCCTGAGTGGAACCTTAAGTTGCTCTCAGCTCCAAGCCACGCTGGGGCACAGGAACGTGCCCTAATGATTTTTCAATGAGTGTGATTAAGTGGTGTCTTTAAAATCTGTTTGCTTACCACACTTTATGGGGGATTACAGACAGAGCAGCACATCTCTGCCAGGGCCGAGTGAGCCAATAATAGCTGGGAAATGGAGAGGCAGCAGCAAGGACAGAGCAGGTGAGAGGAGCTGGAGCAGATCCTGCCTGGCCCAAAATCCAGGTTTCCTCCCCCACCACGGCCACGAGCAAACACTGCTGAAGTCAACAAACCTTTGGATCAGTCAGGAGAAAACTTCTGAGGATGTTGAAACTATGAAACACGCTCAAAAGGCTTCTCAGTCTTTAGTAATTTCCTCTGGTTTAGGATCAGTTCTTGCTCTACATTTGATGACCACACTGGCACAGCACCAGAGCTTTCCAGACTTTAAAACACCTGAAAATGCTCCCTTGTCATTTCCCCTAAAAACTGAGAGAATTGGCTTAAAGACTTTTTTCAGTCTCTGCTTCTTTGCTCATGGGCCCAGGGAAAGGAACAAATTAGCAGGAGAAAAAATAAAATTAAAAAAAAAAAAAATCTGCTTGTACCAGAGGGATCCACTTTTCCAGCAGGCATTCTGTGCACAAGCTGTGTGTGAGGAGCAGGGCAATCCCAAACAAACAGGCTGCACTTTCTGATCACACTGCTCCCCCTCCACCACTGAATCACAAACACAGGTAAAGGTCACCAGGATTTCAGCACTCCGGGGTTTTCTGCTGGCCTCCACGTCTTCCAGTGCTTCCAAGTGTGTGGGGAAACTTCCTAAAGATCTGCCTCAAAAATGCAATTTCCTGTCAGAAATTCCAGCCCTGCCCTTACCTGGCTCTCTCCAGCACTGCTCCCATCACCTGGCGCTTCTCTTTGCACTTCACGTCTTCATTGACATCTGTCCCTCCAAAGATGATCCCAAAGGGAATTCTGCTCCCTGCAAAGCAATCAGAAGGTGGCCAATGTGTCATGACCAGAGTGAAAAAGGGCATTGATAGCACTGAATCACCTATCTGAGCAAAAATCTCTGAAAAGGAAACTTGAATGTTTATTTTTTTAGCACTGTAACCCCACACACAATAACTGCACTTTCACAGGACATCAAACCAAATGGGAAACAAAGTTTGTTGATAAAGACAGAAAATGTACCATAGATTTCAATTTGTATTTGAAAGTTAAGTGAGCTGTAAGATCAGGATTTATTAGCATTGCTAATTTCCTCATTACTAAATGAGAGAGCAAGCAAAAAGAACGAAAGACTAATTACCATTCTGGCTACTTGGAGAATTTCCTTGGCATTTGTTGATATCACACTCTAATGTTTGCAGGTGGAGGGACTTGATGTGCTCTATCAAAGCACCACTGCCTCTAATCTTCCAGAGACAGACTCTCTGTAACACCATATCAAATATGCACTGCCTCTGTCATGAATTAAAAAAGGGAATAATTATGATGCCATCTATTGGGTGTGCTGATCCTGTAAACAGAATTTGCGGGATGAGGCCAAGCAGATCAATAGTGTGGCAGCAATGGCAGTGCAATCACTAAATTTCTAAATGTCCCAGGAGCCAGGAACGTTCTCTGGATCCCTTTTTTGTCCCAAAGTCTGCAATAACCTTTACACTTTGGCTGTGATCATCTCAGCAACCTTACTATTACTGTCCTGCTCTGCAGAGATTTTTGGTTTATTTCTCTTTCAGTCACTGCAGATACTTTTAGAACAGTGTAACTGATAATAATCAATAAATCAGTGTAACTGATTTATTGAAACTCCTTTTGTAAGGTATCAGGCTTTTAGGTCACTTGGGACTTTGAAAAGGCAACAGCAACACCATTTGGGCATTGCCACGCAAGTTAAACTCCAGTAAAACTGTACTCCAATAAACACTAAAATTCAGCTTTATCTTCTGTTCCTCAGCAAAAATCCCCAAAAAACCCCAAAAAGATGGTGCTCAGACTTTCCATGCGCTTCCTCCAAAACAATTCAAGGTCTTGTCAAAAAACCAATCACCTCTATGTTCCAACAAGCCTTAATTCATATGTGAGCACAGCTCATTTTACATTACTTTACATTTTACATTTATTTTTTTGTGTTTGTATTTCAGGTCCCCGCTGAAACCAGAGCCCCTGCGGAGCAGAAGCAGCCCAGCAGAGCAGACACAGAAATTCAGGCTGTCTGCGCACCCCCAGAACAATGGGGGCACTGCTGACATCCAAACCAAGCCCAGAGCTGCCCAGAGATCAGTGGAAGGTGCAGTTCTGTGCCTTTGGACAGATTCCTGTGACTCAGGGTGCTCTCAGCTGAGGATGCACAAAGTGCAATTTCAGCAGGTGAAATTACTGCCTGTAATTCTCAGAGCCAGTGCTCCCAGTCTGTCATTAGTGGCAGGCTAAAATTTTGTTCTCCGTGGCTAAAGAGAATCGAAAATTTTATTATTTGTCTGATAACATCCTGTCTCCTGCAGCCTGGCTGACAGGAATGTTATTTCACGTTGAAAAACCCTGACTCGTTTTTGAGCAGAAAAATGAAATTATCCTCCCTGCTTCCTTCCATTTGAGCCCAGCTCTCCTTAGCCAAGCCATTGTCCTCTGAAAGAACACATTTACTGAAAGGATCTAATGTTAATGTAATGCTCTCATCCTGATGCAGTTAAAGCACTTAATTACCAAGAGCACCATGTGGTTGAAAAGTACATTTATTTAGTTCTCTCTCTATCAGGCCTCCCATCGAGAGGGATTTTTAGCATTTCTGAACGTTTGCTGAAATGGATAAACAGAGAGAGGATGTTCTGTGTGGGGTTGTACATTTACAGCCATGTGCAGCAGCTAGGATTCATCCTCGCAGGACTTTTTGGGAGGTGTTTTTATTGCAAAGCAGGAGGAGGATTACCTTGCAGCAGTCTGCCTCCTTTATAGAGGTGAATGGCCAGGGCTGCATCAAACTTGTCTGAGGAGGTCAGGTTTGCTATTTCAGCTGCACTTCCATACATGAAAGCATCTTTGAGAACACAGATGTGGCCTGCAGCCTGTAGATGATTCCTTCATTATTGGGGCAAACAGAAAGAGAATAAAGAAGTCACTATTAATGTTATAACACACCAGTGTATGAGGCAAACTTAATCAAAACGTTTTTCCTTAAACTTTGCTCTGGCTTTCAACTTTATGCCTTTTTTGTTCAAGCAGACATCAACAAGGAGCTGCTCACAAGGCTGGTTTTTTTCCTGGAAGATATTTGTTATCTTCACCACTGTGAAGCCACAGGCACCTTCCAGCAAGGTAACACTGCCTGGGCCAAGCCTGAGCACCACAAAAATCAGAAAAAATGAAGCGTGGTCAGGACCTTCCTGACTCAACTTATTATTCTGAAATAATCCCTCCTTTTGAAGGGAGGTGTCAGAATTCCTGTGTCAGGCCTTGCTCTTAGAGATTCTCAGCTCCTTGTTCTGCAGAAAGGACACCAGATGAAGAAAGCACAAACGTGTCCAGCTGGTCAATGCCACTCCAAACACAGAACATCAAAAATGAATGCATCAAGAGAGCCAGAGAGCTGAACTGTGTTCCCCTTCTGTTTGATGGTGGGTTTAATTGCTTCTTGTCTCAGCTCACCCATTTATAAACCAGGCAAAGGATTATTGAAATATAAGCGAAAAAACTACACAAAAGTAATGGCACAAATATTGAAGTATAAGCAAAAAAACTACACAAAAGTAATGGCACAAATACTGAAGTATAAGCAAAAAAACTACACAAAAGTAATGACACAAATACCTTCACAACCTGCTTTAAAATCTCAATTCCAAAAAGCAAAAACAACCAGCAAGCCCCTGGCAGTGAGCTCAGCCATGCCCCTTTCCTTGCAGTGGTTCTCATGTGAAAACATTGGTGCCAGGGCTGCCAGAGCCAGGGACTGATGATTGCAGACAGCCCCACTCCTGCCCTAAACAGAACCAAACCCTGGCATTGGTGCCAGGGACTGATGATTGCAGACAGCCCCACTCCTGCCCCAGACCAGAACCAAACCCTGGCATTGGTGCCAGGGACTGATGATTGCAGACAGCCCCACTCCTGCCCCAGACCAGAACCAGGTATCAGTGCTCCAGGAGCATCAAATCGGGTATCAGTGCTCCAGGAACATCAAACCGGGTATCAGTGCTCCAGGAGCACCAGCAAACACCCAGAGCAGCAAATCCCAGCTGACACGGGGTGTTTGCACTGCCAGGATCACACAAACACCACAGGAACGTTCTGTGCTTATCCCGTATCGTGGCACTGATTGATTTCTCATCGTGTATTAATTGTTCTGGCATTGAAATCCTGCTAGCTCATTGACTGCCTGCATCACGTCAGCTTTCATCTCCTGATTACTGCACAGCCTCCCCAGAAATGTGATTTTCTGTCCTGCAGAAGTTAGTCACTCCTGCAGAAATTGGTGCTAAAAGTGCTGTAAAATGTCTGGGGGACTTGGAGGGAATGTGCCAGCCCTGACTGTGTCAGACAGAGCTGCACTGGCACCACACACGGTGCTGGATTCCCTCCTCAGCCCCCAGAGAAACTCCTTTCATTCCACTGCTCCAAACCAGACCAATAAATCATGATATCTGCTAACAAATAATGAAACACGGCCACATCTCAAGCTCCTTATTGACACTGCTGAGCCACTCTCAACACCAGCTGCCCCACGAGCTGCTTCCCAGTACCTGCCCTGCCCTTGCACAGGCTCTCCATTTACATCCCAATAACGATGCCCCAATCTCCCAGCTGTGGAGGGAAAACCTCCCAGGCATTCCTTGGGATGCTGCTGCAAGCATTCCATCATTTCACAGGTGCTCATTAAATGGTCTAAGAGGGTTTTTTCCCATCAGCACTCCAATTACCATAAATCGCTATCATGTACAAGCAATATGTTTGCATATTACAATTAATTTGAAAATAACTCTCTCAGGACAGCAGGAATCGAGAAAACCCAGCCAGGAATTCCAATCAGAAGTGGTTTTTTTACAATATACTAGGGATGACTACTTCTCCTCCACACATTCCACAGCTCCACATCTCCCTGGGGAATGGCAGCTGCTCTGCAGTAAACAGAGAGGGATTCCCCAAGTGTTCCAAGGCTCAGAGATTCTGCATTACCTCTACAACTTCAAAATTATTTCTTTACACATTTTTATTCTACTCAGGAGCACGTAAAAATTTTGCATACATCTTCAGAAGGAAAAATAAGCAAATATTCCCAGAATAATTCAAATTCCCAGATTTAAACAGGCCCCGATCCCCTGAACATTCCACTGAGTTTGATCTCATTAATCACAAGTTTCAAATGATGCATCCATGGAAATACACAAGTGTAGAAGCTGAGTTATTGGGTAGTATTTAAGTGCTGAAATTTACAGCGTTATTTTCATATTTTCTAAATGGCTTTTCATCTTTATAACCAAAAAAAGCAGGGTGATTTTCACACATATGCTGTTACCAAGGAACATGACTGGGGAGTGCTGCAGTTATTGCAGGGATTTTTTTGGAAGACTGATCTGTGTGTGAAGTCACAGATGTCCCTGAATGAGGCCCAGGCACAGGAGACACATCATCCATATCTTTTCTCCTCCTGGCAAATTCACATTATTTTGCCATTTCATAAACAAATACTTTGCGAATGAGAAACAAAAACTAACCCAGCTCCTGCTGTCTGGGGATCAAAGACAACACTGGAAATGCCAAATCTCAAGGCTACATTTCTCTCTATCATAGTTCTTAACACAGGAGATAAATCCCCAAGAGTCTTAACAAACCCCGAATGTTGCTTGGAGCTAGAAATTGCCTTGCCCATTCTCCCCTTCTGCTGAAACTCCCGTGGAAGCCAGTGCCATGACTTGGGGAAATGCTATTCCTGAAGTGGAGTTGAGCTGTCAGATCCCAGATTTTGGGTGTTTTTCTAAGCAGAAGGCATCAGGGAGAACTCCAGCCATGCAGTAAATGTGACAGAGCATTTTCAGCAGCACATTACACTGGCCACTGCTTACTCTGATATTCATACACACCTGAGTATTGGACAAAGTATTTCCCAGTCCCCCTCATTTTAGCATTCAGGAAATTAATTTCTCTTTGTTTGGTACATTGTTAATATTCTTTGGAAATTACAAAGCTTATAAGTGCAATTTTCAAGTGCATTCTCTGGATCTACACTGTGTGCAGAGATCCTGCTAAAAGCTGCAAGCCTTTCCTGACATGTTTTCACTTTGAGATTTCTGTACAAAAACCATTTTTCTCTAACACATCTGTGAAATACCAAGCGATGTTTTACAATGTTTAAATTTTTATTCCCTACATAATTGATCACTGCTTCTCACTTCTCCTGGCTAGCAGTCTCCCTCCTCCAGCATGAATCTGCAGTTCACAGGTTTGCATATCAGGAAACAGTTTTAGAGCTCCAAACACAGCCTGGCTGATGAGAAGGCACAGGAGCTAAAAGTGTGCTTATTTCTAAGGTATTATGGTTGTGAAACTTGCTCTGTTTTGTGTGATGTCTTCCTCTCAGAAACATTTACCTTCTAAATTTCAACTGATATTTAATGGAATTACTTGCAGACAAAGAATGTTTGATTTCCAAAAAGTTCCTGGTAGGTGGATACACTGACACTTCTTGAATGGCACAAAATAGGCTTCATCCAAAAATATTAATTATCTCTTTCCCTCAGCTGTCTGCTCTGCACAGCAGCTGTGCACCAACTCCTGTTAAATGTACATGGCACAATTCAGAGCTTGTTGAGGGAGCACTGCCTCTCAGAAACTTGGCCAGACCTGAACACTCACAATTCCCACTGAAGCTCATCAAGTTACACAAGCTGAAACCCTGCCTGATCTCCTGTTTTCTTTGTAAACGATCTTATTTTTGCAGAATTGTTAAAACAACATGTCCTTCATTTCCCTCTCAAGCCTCTCCTTGAAGCAACATAGGCAAATTGCATTGGCATGAGTGAACCATGAGTAAAGTTCACTGTGAACCGCAGAAATTAAAAATGTGAGTGAGGATGGGGACCAGCTCCTGCTGTCTGTGTGCTCTGAACTCAGTCACTGAGCTTGGCAAGGACCAGAGAACTCTTCCAAGCTTGGACCCTTGTTACACACAGTTCCTGCAGTGCACACCGTGGTGGTACCAAGGGCAGCCCCTGCAAATGATGGACCTCTTGCTAAGGTGCAAAGAACACCTGTCCTGAAGGTTCCTGCTCTGGGGATGGCCACGCAGGGCCAGCAGGGATGTCCCAGCAGGAAAGTCCCAGCAGAGACATCCCAACCTGAGCAGGGCCAGCAGGGATGTTGCAACAAGGAGGTCCCGGCCTGGGCAGGGAGGCCCCGGCCCGGGCAGGGAGGCCCCGGCCTGGGCAGAGCCATCAGGGATGTCCCAGCCTGGGCAGGGAGGGCCCGGCCTGGGCAGGGAGGGCCCGGCCCGGGCAGGGAGGGCCCGGCCTGGGCAGAGCCATCAGGGATGTCCCGGCCTGGGCAGGGAGGCCCCGGCCCGGGCAGAGCCACCAGGGAGGCGCAGGAGCTCCCAGAGCTGCCCTGAGGACAGGAGCATCCCCTGCCCTGGAGCGTTCCCCTGTGGGACTCCCACCCTGGCACACAGGGTAAAATGAAACAGCAGAAATGTCTGGATTACTGAATACTCCACTAAACGTCTAAGCTCAAAACCAATGGTCCAGAGGAATGATAAGCACCGTTGGATTTGTGGTTTAATTCTCTTGCAGGTGATTACCTGGAGATTTACAGAATGTGTGTCTTAACCGGCCAGTTAATGAGAGCCAAAACAATTTCTCCCTCTCCAGAAAACATTTACATATTGGCAAAAAAGTTAATCTAAATCTTTCTAATTAACCTATTAATTTCAGATTTCTATTCCTCCTTACTACCAAGTAATAAAAGATGAACAAAACATTTCAAGGGGCAGGGAAGAATAATTTCTTTTCTTCCTTGACACATCTTTGATCTCATTTCTAAGGTTGAACAATGGCAGCCTAAGCAAAGACTTTTGCTTAGTGCTGTATTTATTCATTGCTCATATTTTTTAAGGTGATTAAAGATTATGCACACCAATAGGAAGAAAGCCCACAGCACACTCATTATACCACTTGTTTTAGCAAGTTGATTTTTAGCCAAATTAAATTCTGGTACCTTTGTCACCACTTACTTTAAACTCAGGAAATGAATACCTTATTTATGAAAAGATGAAGCAGTTATTGGAAGAGTTGTAATATCATAAACAGAGTATACACTGTTATATTAAGCCATAAAATTAATCTATGCTGGCAAGTGTTCCACCCGGAGACAACACCATTGTTTCATTTATATTTAACCAAAAGTTCAAAATTTAAAAAAAAAATCGGGTAAAGGCACCTTGCTAAGCCACTGAAGCTCAGGACAATGTGCTCACATATTCACTATCAATATCTGTAATTAAAAGACTTTTATATAATATGTGAACCCTTGCTTTTCTGGCTCGTTCAGACTTATTTTAACTAGAAACAATGCAGAACCTGCTTTCCACTAGATTAGCTCTGAACAGCTCCAGCCTAAATGTACGTCTGACTTCCCTCAAAGTGGAATTGAAGAAGAAGAAAAGTAAATATTTGATTTGTAAAGGTACATAACCTCATAGAGGAAAATTGAGCAGTGATGTGCCCAATAACTAGTCTTGTACTATCCAGTGAGAGCAAAGGGTAAGATACAAAAGGAAAGGCAGAATGCCACAGGAACTCTGCTGCAATGTACAGGCATAAAAAGAAGTATATATATGCACATAAAGAATTTACTTGTCTCAATATTTTAGTAACAATTATGGTTTTAAAATAGCAAAACCTTCAGCTTTCTCTGGAGTTTCTATCCTCAGTGCCTGGGTGACAGGACCAGCAGACATGCCCTACCAGCCTCATCCACAGAGCAGCCCTGCAGAAGTCTCAGGCTGCACTTGCTATGACACAGGCAGTGTGAAAACCTAATGCCTGAGGATGCTGCTGTGCATAACCTCACATGAGGGACAATGCACAGATCAAGGGCAGGGAAAACTTGTAATGGCAGAATGTCCCAAGAGATTCATCCGGAGAGAAACAGCTAAACTGTGGAAAACTCTTAGATAAGATGAACCCAAATCATTATTCTGGGCCTCAAGAGGACAAAACCATTGGGAAATTGTTTATTTTCTATAGTGATTCATTTTTTTATAGCTGACGTGCACAGTGAAGCCCCAGCAGCAATGCTCTCAGCCACATCCCTTTCCACGTCACAGAAAACGCCAAACGGGGACATGTGGGATATTTCTGCGGTTCTGTTCGCCCGTGCGATTTCCCAGCACTGCAGCGCCGTGTCCGCCATCCATCCATCTATCCATGCATCCATCCATCCCCACGAGAGCCGCAGCGAGGGCAGCCACCGGAGCGGCTCCCGCGCGGCTGCAGCCGGGGCTGGCTCTGGCTCTGCCGGGCTGCCCGCCACACCGTGTGTGCCAGCCGGGGCTGTGCGGCTCTGCCCTGCTGCCCGTCACACCGACTGTGCCATCCCCGCAGCCCTGCTGCCCGTCACACCGACTGTGCCAGCCCCGCAGCCCTGCTGCCCGTCACACCGACTGTGCCAGCCCCGCAGCCGCAGCCCTGCCGCCCGTCACACCGACTGTGCCAGCCCCGCAGCCGGTGCCCGCCGGGGCTGTGCGGGACCCGGCCACGCTGCGGGGCGAGAGCGGCCCGGGCGCCGCCGGCCGTGCCCGCTCTGGGCACGCACCGGGCGGGCACCGTGCCGGGCAGCGCCGCAGCGGGGGCGGCCCCGCGGTGTCCCCGGGCTCGGCCACCGCCCCCCGCACACCCCCGGGCCGCCGCTCCCCACACGCTGCCGGGGCCGGCGGAGCCACCGCACACCCGGGCCCGCCGGGCTGTGCCGCCACCCCCCGCACTCCCGGGGCCGCCGGAGCCGCCACCGTGCGCCGGCGCCGGCCGCGCATGGCGGGCGCGGAGCGCGGCGCATCCTCCCCATAGCGGCGCTCACTCACTCACCGGATCCTGGCGGCCGTGGTGGCGTTGCCGGTCTGTGCCCGCAGGCACGCCAGCAGCAGCAGCCTCATCGCGGCCGCTCCGCTCCCTCCGCTCCGCCCGCCGCCGCCTCACCTGCCCGCGGGCCCGGAAACGGCGCTGCGGAGCGGGGCCGGAGCGGCCGCGGCCCCGAGCCCTGCCCGACCCACCCGGCGGGGATGGGCCGGCCCTGGCAGGTGCTCCCGGGCAGAGGGCACCTGGATACCTGGCAGAGGTCTGGGTGCCCGCCCACGCCTCTGGACAGCGCTGTGTGCCCTCGCCAGTCCGGCACAGAAGTGACACGCTGGGATCATGGCCGGGGAATGGGAACTCAAAGGCCTCCTGTGGACAGCAGCACAGCCTCTGCCTCCCGCTGCCACCCAGGAGGTGCCCCATGCTTGGGGCAGGAACAGCCATAGGAAAAAACCTAAAGGTGGGTAAGATGCCAAGCACCAGAGCAGCCAGAGGAATGTGCTAGTCTGAAGAGTAAGGAATGAGATGGTCAAAGACCACTCCCAGCATCAGGAAGGCCTCAAAATGCAGCAGAACCAAAGGTGTGTGAGACCAGGGAAAAAGCAAGAAATCACAGCGACAGGCAGAACCCAAAGATACAACAAAACAGAGAAGAAAAAAGAACAAACCTGTACTCCAGATGAAGAAAACAATATCCCAAACCAGCAAGGCAGTGTTCAGGATAAAAGGGTCCACCCTAGTTAGAGCCAGAAACACAGAACGGCTGAGTGGGGCAGCAGCAGGAAGGTGAGAGGCCAGCTCAGGGAATCCGTTGGGAGATCAATAGGAAACAGGTGGCTGATTGTAGATACCCACCTGAACCTGTTTCAACTCTTGTGACAGTATTGAGACCAGGTGCAGCACATTGGTGGTGATGAGAAGGGGCCTGATTGGCCAGAAAAGTCACTTTTTGCTTATAACCTGGTCAGATTGCCTGATGTAATTCACCACAGGGTCACACAGATGCCAGCTTCCCCAAAGCTGGAGAAGACAGGGAAAAGTGGTCTTCAAAAACCTGCAGTGCCTCATTATTCATATTTCACTGTCAGGTAGACAGAGATAAAATATGCCACATGCAGAGAAATATTGAATTAATCATTTCTGAAACAGTACTTCTTCCAATAATTTGTGTGGATTTCTGAGGCTAACAGGTGTTCTGAAATTGAGTGTTTAAGCGTCATAAAAACACACACTGGAGTGGGTTCTGGCAAACTGTAAACATTCTGGTAGGCAGGCTCATATTTTGCTAATGAAACTGAATGCTGCAGAGCTGTGCTAACTGCATCTCACTGAGTTATCCCTTGGATTCAGCCCAACATTCTTTAGACCACTTCAAACTCCACTGGAACTAAAAATTTTGGCTGCAACCTATAAGAGCAGCAAATGCTGCAGAAATGCTAAAAACAGGGTAAATGCTAATCTAAGGGCAGGCAGAACCAAACCATTGGCTCTAGAACAGTCCTGTCACCATTCCAGAAAGTGTTTCTGGCATGAAATCCCACTCCTGCTGAGATGTGGAGGGCTTTTGTCAGCGTGGCCAGGATTCCAGCCTGGAAGTAGCCCATGGGAAGCACACTTGGGATTCTCAACCCCCCTCCAGGAGGGGCCTTTCAGATGTCCCCACAGCCCATCCAGGCGTGTCACACCTCGCAGCTCTGGCAGGGTGTGCCCAGAGCAGCCTTGGAACCAAAAATGGAGATTCTGCAGCTGTACCCTGGCTGTGAAAGCTCAGAAAGCCACGTTTTGGGTTAGCAAATGCTGTCCAACACATTTAGTGCGCAACACAAAGAAGAAAAAACGCAAACATTAAAGCAAGACAAAGCCTGCTCCGTGAGAAATGAGGAAACTCAACCAGTCACCTGAGAAATAAAGAGGAAATAAAGGAAACACTCAAAGAGATCTTAACATGTTATCACTATTTATGGTAACTCTGGCTTTATGCTATTTAGGCTTTGACTGAAAAAATAATCTGGAAATGTGCATTGCAACTTGAAAACACGGAAATGCATGAATGTATTCCTGTACAGACACAGCTGCACTCACTGTGTGCACAGAAAGGGTCCTGGATGTATCAGAATGAACTTTTAAACACACTGTAGCTCAGTATTGTTTGGAGGGAAATGAAAACCTCCTTCCTGCTGTACTTCCAGAGAGAACAGCAACTTGTGAATTTAGTGAGTTACCTGCATCTCTATCCCTAAAGAGTCAAGTAACATTTTAATGTACATTCCAACTGCTGCTCAGCATTGTTAGGTGTTTGTACCAGTTGTGGGACAGGTCAATATAGAAATCTCACCTCACTCACCAACGTAAACGATGAAGGGTCTAAAACATGAAAATAAGACACAATAATTCAAAGTGTGCTTTATTACTTTGAGTCCCCAGAAAATACTGCCAAACTCCTCAGAAAGTGCAATCACAGCTAATATGACAATAAGCTAGGAAAAGATGAAATGTAGTTTTGTTACAGAATCAGTCACGTTACAGTAGTTCACAAAGAAATGCCTGTACAGCTGGTTGCCTTTTCCTCATTGTCCTTTGTCATGAAATTTCTTAACTAGTTAAGAAAGCAAATATATGTAATCAGTCATTTTTATGGCATATGTTATTTACAAAGGCCCATTACTGAATGACTGTATTTACTTTTACAAGCATCACTTGCTCCAAAGTAAGTCATGCCTGAATGTTTGGTATGTAACTACATGATGTCAATAAACTTAACTTTTTTCATTGAAAACACACAACCAGCAGTGTCTTACCCACTTTGTTCTGGCCAAAAATAAGACTTTAAGATCTGCTGCTGAAGACAATTTAATGCATTCACATCCTGTACCTCAACAGGTGTGATGGTCGAACTGCAGCACATCTCAGGGTTGTAATCTTGTAATCTTATGTTTTCCCATTTTAATCACATGCTTTGTCCCACTGAAATCAGTGTTCACTCTCCATGTGTACCTGGATAATTCCTGCATGTCCTCACGCCCAGCTACTGCTCCCATCCGAGTCACCAGGCACATCCTGGGGGCTGAGCTGGCCTCAAACACGTATTAAAACACGTATAAAAACACAGATAAAGACACGTATAAAAACTCTTATTAAAACAGCCTTTAACACCACACATTCATCACCTTTTCCTGCTGAAAGGCCTTGTTGTGAGACAGTCTTTAACTATAGCATTAAATAACCCTAAAAAAAGATTATTTGGGGTCTAGAGCATCTCTTTTGAGAGAACACAGGAATTGAGACTGTTTAGTCTCAAGAAGACTGAGAAGGGATCTCACTAATGCATAAGTATCTCAGAGGCGGGTGCCAAGAAACTGGTGCCAGGCTCTTTTCAGTGGTGCCCAGCCACAGGGTGAGGAACAATGTCCAAAAACCAAAGCACCTCTCCGTGAAGAACTCTTTTCACGAAGGATGGCAGAGCAGCTGCCCATGGAGGCGACGGATCCTGCCTCCCTGCACACCCGCCTGGGCGCCTTCCTGTGCCAGGTGACCCTGCCTGGGCAGGGCCAGCCAGAGCTCCTTCCTCTGGGACGGTTCGGGGATTCTGTGCATTTCCACTTCCATTTCCCGGTGCAGCCCCCGAGCGGCAGCCGGGTCACGGCGGGGAGAGGCGCCGCACACCCCGGGCTGCCCAGCTCCGGCTGGCGCTGCCGGCCGCTCAGACGGGCACCGTGCCGGGCCGCCCCGGCCGCTGTGAGGGACACCCTGAGGGATCTCCCCACTGCCTGCCGGCCGCTCTGAGGGTCACCGTGCCGGGCCTCCCCGGCCGCTCTGACGGGCACCCTGAGGAACCTCCCTGGCCACTCTGACGGGCACCCTGAGGAACCTCCCCACTGCCGGCCGGCCGCTCTGACGAGCACCCTGAGGAACCTCCCCGGCCACCCGCCGAGACTCCCTCACGGCCACACCACTTCCGCCCCGCCGCGCCCCACTCGGCCATATGACGGCGCGACGGGCGGAGTGACAGCGCCCTCGACCAATGGCACCGCGCCGCTGCTGGGGGCGGGGCCGAGCGCCGGCAGAGCGGCAGAGTGACAGCGCCCTCGGCCAATGGCGCCGCGGCGCTGCCCGGGGGGCGGGGCTGGGGCGGCGGCGGGCGCGGGTCCCGGCGGGCGGGCCGGGAGCGCGGCGGGGCCGCCGGGGGGACGCGGGGCCATGGACGAGGCCGAGCCGAACGAGCGCAGCCCTCTGCTGAGCAGCGGCGAGCGCGGGCGGGCGGCCAGCAGCGCCTTCCAGGGCCGGCGGCTGGCCTGCGCCGCCGTGCTGCTGGCCGAGCTGCTGGAGCGAGTGGCCTTCTACGGCATCACCTCCAACCTGGTGCTGTTCCTCAACGGGCCGCCCTACGGCTGGGAGGGCGCGCAGGCCAGCCAGGCGCTGCTGCTCTTCATGGGCATCACGTACCTGGTGTCGCCGTTCGGGGGCTGGCTGGCCGACGCCCTGCTGGGCAAGTTCGGCACCATCCTGCTCAGCATGGCGCTGTACCTGCTGGGCATGCTGGCCTTCCCCGTCATCGCCGCGCCGCACACCCGCCAGGGCCTGTGCGGGGACATCCCCCTGTTCCCCGTGGAGAACTGCTCCTCGCCGGCCGCCAACGCCACCCTGGCGCCCTGCTCGCAGGCCGGAGCCACCCGCTACTGCGCCGCCGCCACCTTCGTGGGACTGGTCCTCGTGGGGCTGGGCGTCGGCTCGGTCAAGGCCAACATCACCCCGTTCGGGGCCGACCAGGTCGGGTATGGTGTGGCAGCTGCAGCGCTCGGGGTGCCCAGGGTGGCAGAGGGGCTTGCCGTGCTGGGGTGGGCAGTGCCCGGCCGACTGGCCTCTGTGCAGGTGCTGAGCCTGGCAGGGAATGGCATCACCCAGCCCTGGCCCTGTGCAGTGCAGCTGGTTCAGCTGGGCCACGTTCGATGTCATTTCGGTGCCTGTGGGGTGTCAGATCCCTTTGCTTTCCTGGTTACCCTGCCTCACATGTGGGATCTGAGTTGGCTGAGCCATCACTATCTCAGGACTTGGGTTGAATACTTAATGGCCATTAAGTGGACTGCTGATTGTCCTCGCTGGTCAGTTTGTATCCAGTTAATGTGACCTCAGAGCTCATCAGGTGAAGTACAAGATACACATTTGAGCTGTGACAAGGATGACATGGGGCTCCTAAGGCAGTGTCAGAGGCCTTTACCATCCTGAGATAAAGGATCTAACAGTGCAGAATGAACAGTTTTTATGCTTTAGGTATTTGTGCACTGCCTTGCCCTGGAGTGCCGTTTCTGTGCAGCCTGGTGCTGCATCACATGATGGGGGAAGCTGCTCTGGCCCTGGTAAACATCACCTGGGCTGTTCTAAGGACACATCCTGTCAAATGACCTTGTGGGGACCCGCCACAGTGATCTCATTCATTGGGTCATCACTGCAGAACCCGGGGGCTGCACACAAAACATTTGAGAGGCAGCTTGCACTTCAGTAGCAACTGGAACGCTCTGTTACATGTAGTTTTTTTACAGTCCTGTGCTAAGGCAGTATGGATGTTGAAATGTAATTTCTGCTTTGCAAAGGGAGAATTTCAGCATGCTCAGGTACTGCTGAGCAGCTTTTCTAACTAAACTGAAACTCCAGTGGCATGTCTGCTGGCTCACTGAGTTCTGCTTAGAGCAGGTATCAGAAATGCCATGCATTCTTTGAAAGAGGGAGAATCCACCACAGAACCATTGCCAGACATACCTCTGTTCTCTGTTGTGCAGTTTGCATTTGTCATTCTTTGGCATTTTGTGTATTCTGAATTCTGGGTGAAAGGCAGTATATAAATGTAAAACATTATTATAGCCCAGGATTGTGTGTCCCCAGTGCATTAGCTCTGCTTGAGCCAGCCTGAGCCCATCAAGTGAAATAGCTTTAATATGACTTTATCTTGTAAGGTGTTTTTCAAAACTGACTGCTTATCCCCAGAACGCTTTATGAAAGTTAAATATGGGAGATAAATAATGGCAGGAACTGAGCAAAAGAAGAGCCATTGCCAATGGAAGTGTAGCTGTTGTAGCTGGATTTTGTAAAGGCTTTTCCCCCAGGATTTCAAGGAAAGCAGGTTTTGGCTGGGTTTGAAGATAATTCACAGTGATTTATGTAGGGTGAAGCAAAAGAAATACTCCTTTCTGGGCCATAGTAATCAGTGGAGCTCTACCGAGGTCTGAATTTTTCCCCTTCTCTCTTTCTCTGGCTTATCTCTTGTTAAATATATTACAGCATGCCACTTACCTTGGAGTGCAGTTTGGGGCCCTCTTGGGTGCCTTTTCCCTGCACAGGAATGCAGAAAACTGCTGGGGAGATGAGTATATATCTATATAGCTGTATGTATCTATCTGTATCTCTGTCTACCTATCTGTATCTGAGAGTAAAGTCTATCCCAGAGCCACGTTCTTGGGAGGCCAGAGCACATTGCAAACGTGTTTGGGCTGGATGTGTGCTGAGAGGGTTTGTCCTCTTTCCCCAAGGAAAGGATGAATTGTACATCATGTACATCAGTTGGCACAATCACCTTTCAGAATGTTAACTGCATTTCATTGCAGATCTCTTAGAAATTACTGTGTGAATTTTTCAGCGTTAATGTATAGAATTTGGGTGGAGGGTTCCTGTATAAAGAGAGGTTTCTTTATTTAGCAGAATCACTTTGTGGAAGATTGGAAACTTGCAATTGCAATACTTACTTTTCTCTGGTTCCTAACTCTGTCGAGTGCCTGCTTTTAGAAGTGCTATTAGAGTTAGGATGAGTAACTTCCACCACTCAGCTTAGCAAAGAGAGTTCTGCAAGGCTGGGACAGAGCAGCTTTTCCCAGCTGTGTTTACAGATGTTTTTCTAGAAGTGTCAGCCCGTCCGTGGTGCTGTGTCAGTCTGAGGGGACGGTGCTCAGAATGGGGTTTCTCATCATGTGATCCCATGCCCTGGCACTTTCCAGTTCCCCTTTCGGGCCAGCGTTTGCTGTCACTTCCTGTTCTTGGAGCAGCCTGCGTGTGACTCTCTGCAGTTGGGAAACAATGGGACTGCTGGTCGTTATTGAGAAAGCTGCTTCAGCCTCAGCACCGAGGCCAGAGTGGCAGCAGACTCCTAATCTGCTCTCAGCCATAATCACTGTAATTATAGCTGGGTCTCTTGCAGGGTTCCAGCGCCTGGGGAGGCCAGGTTTCACCCAGCTGTGCTGCCCTCCGAGCTGCCTTCACAGCCAGGAAATATCAGGCTACAGCTGCCACAGATCTTCCAGCTCTGCGGAAATCGGTGCTTTACAGTTATTTTTTCCAGCTATTGGAAACTGCTGCTGTAAAGATGGCTTTAGAGTGATTTTCAGCCCTTATTTATTTGTAGAACATAGATTTTCCAGCCTCTGGATGAGGATGGGGAGCCAGGTATAAAGATTTGAAGGTCCCTGACTGCAACTTGGTTGGTTGTTGCTGCTGTCAGACTTCTTACGAGCCTGTGGACCTCGAAGGCTCTGCAGAGAGCAAGTTTGAAACAAGTTGTGGCATTCAGGCCCATAATAACAGGTGGGAGAGGAACACACTTTATGTGTGGACTTGCCGAATTTCAGTGTAAAACTTTGAAATTACCTAGCAGCTGAGTAATAGTGTGGAGCTCAGCTACCCAGCTCTCTCAGATGATCTCAGAGTCAGTGGTTGTGTGCGGTGATGGATTAGAGGGTCAGGATTCTGTAAGTTTGACTGCACAGAACTCTTGCCATTGTACCTTCTTTGGTAGGCTAAGGACAAGGACAGGCTTCTCTGTTCCATCCCTGCTCTGCTGTGTGGCTGCTCTCAGAGGTGACTGCGATGAGTTTGGGGCTGTTTGGTACATTTGTCACTTGTGACTCTCAGTTGACTGCGGGAACAAATGAAAGCTACTACTGTCAGGGACTTTTGAGTGATCATGTTCCTTTCATGTGGGGTTTTGACAAGACATCTTCATAGTTCTTCATCTTTGAGAAGATATTCCACCAGATAGTCAGTGGGACCTTTATTCAGTTATTAATGTTTGCCAGTTAAAGGCCGTAGTGGCATTTCAGACGTGGCTGTGATGTGATTTTTAGTGCAAACATATGCTTTGATAAAGAAGGAAGCAATGGATTCTTTGCATTGTAAGTCTGTCATGTGTCTGTCCTTTGAGCACTGCTTTCCTTTGGTCACTGTCACAGAAAGGACACTGGAGATGGTGAAGGAAGTTTCCAGGAAGGGCCACAGGCATGGTCAGTAGTTTCCAGGTGAGGAATCACAAATCAGTCTAAATTTCCTACCTCTGAAAAGGCAGCAGAACGGAAGATGTGACAGTGGTTTGTGCCAGCAGTGCCAGGGGAGAGAGGCAGCAGTGGAGCAGGAATGGGATGGAGCTGGGCTGTGACTGGAACAGCAATGGGATGGAAATGGGATGGAGCTGGGCTGTGACTGGAACAGCAATGGGATGGAGCTCAGCTCTCTCTGCAGCAGGAATGGATGGAGCTCCACTGTCACTGCAGCAGGAATGGGATGGAAACGGGATGGAGCTGGGCTGTCTGTGGATCAGGGATGGATGGAGCTGGGCTGTGTGTGGATCAGGAATGGATGGAGCTGGGCTGTCTCTGGATTAGGGATGGATGGAGCTGGGCTGTCTCTGGATCAGGAATGGATGGAGCTCAGCTGTCTCTGGATCAGGAATGGATGGAACTGGGCTGTGTGGATCAGGGATGGATGGAGCTGGGCTGTGTGGATCAGGGATGGATGGAGCTGGGCTGTCTGTGCTGGTTCCTGGAACAAGGTGAAAGGAGGCAGGCTCAGACAGGCTGGTTCAAAGCAGGCACTGGAGGCAGCCCTGCCCACTGTGCCATTGCCTGTGGAGCTCTTTGCCACGGGATGCTGTGCATTCTGAGAGCTGACCTGGGTTCAGAGGCAGGTTACACAGGCTCGTGGAGAGGAGAGCTGCTGCCTTGATTAAGCACAGAGAAGCCATCCTTGGCTCAGGAAGTTTCTCAGGAGCTAATGGTTGGAGGCTGGGATAATGCTGTCAGAAGGCTCATGGTGTGCTTCCCTGTTCTTACCTGCATCAAAGTTGGCTTTCTTCTCCCTGCTCTCCTTTGTAGAGATGTCAGCCAGGTCATGTGCAGGAGGGAGGATGAGAAGTCATCTGCCTTGCAGAAATAAGAGAACTGAGACTTTGTGATGAAGAAACGGAAACTTCATCAAACGCATTGCTAACACTTACACAAGTTGGAGCACTGTGTTCCATTAATTGTTTGCTAATATCCTGCTGCTCATTGGGCTTTGGGAGGGATTCCTGGATTGAGCCACTGCTGCAGTTGATGAAAGCTAGGAATTGAGTACCAAGTTGAAGCTGGAGAGGGAGAATTTCTTGGGTTTAGCCTCCAGGATTGCATTGGACATTCTGACAGATGCACTGAATGCTGGCAGTGCTGTCAGCTGTGCACAGGAATAGATTCTTTCGTATTGCCTCTGTGGGGCTTGGTTAATGCTACAGATGGGTTTGTGCACCACTGGGAAACCTGAAGCTGTTAATCAGAACTGGCAGTGTTAAAAACTCATTTTAAGACACAGCTTGCTTTTCATACTGCAAACTAAATAGGGGTCTGTTGGAGATCTGGCAAATGAGGAGGGGAAATCTGCAGTTACAAATGAAAAATAACTGACTCAGCCAGGCTGGTGCATGGCACTGACTTGCTAGTCACTGTAAATGGCCTTTCAGTCATCAGCCACTGACAAATACAGTATTATGGATTCTCCTGCAGACTACTTGATCTTTTTAATGTGTTTCAAATTTTAATTTGCATCATTTCTCTTACATCACCTCTTATGAGTGATGCTGGATTCCTGGGAGTGAATTACAAAATGTGGGGTAACTTACAGTAGGCAATAATAAAGAGGGATGGTAAAACTGTACAGATAGTTCTTTAAACAGGGATGTCTTTACTTTCACTGGAGAGACTGAGAGCTTCAAGCAGAAAAAATAACACTATGAACAGCTCTGACTTACAGGGATAAATATTTACTGGAGCCTTGTGATCCTCAGGCAGCCCAAATTTAATTAATTTTTTTAAAGGTCAGAAGGACAAGTGCTCAATTTGTGTTCTGATGAGAGGCATTAAGACTGTGTCAAAAATTAAATTTTTGTTTAATTACCAAGCATTCATTTGAGGCTTAGAAAATGGGATAGTGTTAACTGTTGTGTAAATACAGTTAGAAGAAGCAACTGTGGCAATGTGTGAATTTCTAGGTAACTTAATTTTTTGTTACTAAAAATCAGTTACTTAAACTCCTGTGATCTATGGGATGTTAATCTGAGGGAGCTTTTTGTAGAGCAATGACCCAGTGAGAGTCAGTGCAGTAGGAATAATAATGGCCTCTCTGGGGGAGCTGTGTCTCAGCAGTGTGGCTGCTTTATCCCTGTGCTGAGCTTCCAGAAGGTTTCTCACATAATGGTGCAGCTCTCACTGAGGTGGCATCTCATCAAACACCATGTGAAGCCAAAACACTTAAATCATTCCAGTGTGACTCCAAATGAAACCTGAGCTCTTCGGTGTATTGAACTTGTTAAAATTCTAATTCAAAGATTCTAGTTCTGTTTAGCCTTATTTATTCAGAATCTGAAGGGCTTGCTTTTAATCTTCCCCAGGTCAAGGACCGGGGTCCAGAAGCCACAAGAAGGTTTTTTAATTGGTTTTACTGGAGCATCAATCTGGGAGCTATCCTGTCTCTGGGAGGCATTGCCTACATCCAGCAGAACGTGAGCTTTGTGATCGGGTACAGCATCCCCACGGTCTGCATCGGCATCTCCTTCATGGTGTTCCTGTGTGGCCAGAGCTTCTTCATCACCAAGCCTCCCGATGGCAGTGCCTTCACAGACATGTTCAGGATCCTCACGTACTCCTGCTGCTCCAGGAAGGGCCACGGGGAGCACTCGGCAAACAGGTTTGTGATGAGCTCTCCTGTGTGACCTCTCAGAGTCACCTAGGGCCGAGCTCCTCAGCTCACCCTGCCTGCTGCTCACTGCCCCCACAGGCTGCAGGAGAACAAGCAGGGAGCAGCTTTGCTGTGGGAGCTGCAGAGCTGGAGCCTGGAGCTGCTTTCTGGGAGCTGAGGGATGGAGTGACATCCCTGGGTGTCCTGCAGCCAGACCATGGCATGGAGTGACATCCCTGGGTGTCCTGCAGCCAGACCATGGCATGGAGGAGGCACAGTGACATCCCTGGGTGTCCTGCAGCCAGACCATGGCATGGAGGAGGCACAGTGACATCCCTGGGTGTCCCTGCAGCCAGACCATGGCATGGAGTGACATCCCTGGGTGTCCCTGCAGCCAGACCATGGCATGGAGGAGGCACAGTGACATCCCTGGGTGTCCCTGCAGCCACACCATGGGATGGAGGAGGCACAGTGACATCCCTGGGTGTCCCTGCAGCCACACCATGGGATGGAGGAGGCACAGTGACATCCCTGGGTGTCCCTGCAGCCAGACCATGGCATGGAGGAGGCACAGTGACATCCCTGGGTGTCCCTGCAGCCAGACCATGGCATGGAGTGACATCCCTGGGTGTCCTGCAGCCAGACCATGGCATGGAGTGACATCCCTGGGTGTCCCTGCAGCCAGACCATGGCATGGAGGAGGCACAGTGACATCCCTGGGTGTCCCTGCAGCCAGACCATGGCATGGAGTGACATCCCTGGGTGTCCCTGCAGCCAGACCATGGCATGGAGTGACATCCCTGGGTGTCCCTGCAGCCAGACCATGGCATGGAGGAGGCACAGTGACATCCCTGGGTGTCCTGCAGCCAGACCATGGCATGGAGTGACATCCCTGGGTGTCCCTGCAGCCACACCATGGTGTCAGCTGAGCTCTGTGTCCTGCCAGCTCAGAGCTCCTGAGGGTGTGCTGCAGCCTGACTGGGCTGCTCTCAGCATTAGTTAACTTTCTTCTCTGGCACATATGTTTGGTTTGAAAAGCACTGTCATCTGCATTTAGTGCTCTATGCAGCTTGATGGGGAGCCAGAATTTTGCCACTCTTGAGAGCTGCCCATGGAATACTGATGGTTGGGTTGGATCACTGCTAAGAGGAGTCAGGTGCCTGCTCTGCAGTGGGGTTTCCTGTGCTCAGACTGCCAAACCGTTCACTTAACAAGCAATATCACAAACTGCAGGTTACTCCAGGTTCTGTCAGTTATTTAGGGCTGGGCTGTGAGGGGAGGGTGGGAAATAAGGAAACTCCATGGCAGAAGGTTTCCTCTCGTGTTTCCACCTGCTGGGGATCCATTCTGGCCTGGCTGCGTTGCTGTAACTTACATGAGTGACTCATTTTGGAAATGCATTAGCATTTTATAAGGAAGAGAGGATTGCCAGTTGTGTTTACTGAACGTGTCAAATCCTTGCCCACAGTGAGGGCCAGGGAGTGCTGCCCCCGCCCCGCAGGCAGAGCCTCTTCGAGATGGCCAAGCTGTCCCGGGGGGGCCCCTTCAGAGAAGACAAGGTGGAGGATGTGAAAGCTCTTGTCAAGATTATCCCTGTCTTTCTGGCTTTAATACCTTACTGGACGGTGTATTTTCAAGTGAGTAGTTCCATATGGTTACAGTTATATTTTATGTAATTTCTAATTTAACATTTTTGGGGTGTTCTCTCATAAATAGGAAAACTTACCTTGAAGTTGAGAGATGAAAAATGACTACCAAGGAATGCTCTCAAATAATATTTTGACCTAATAAAAGAAAAAAATAAAATCATTACCATTGTAGTTAAGACTCACAGTTGTACAAATTCACATATCTTAAATACTGTGCTGTGTTTCATCTTGCAGCTGTTTCATATAGGTCAGGCTTAGTGGTCTAGACCTCATTTAATTTTCAGGTTCTGCCTTATGGAGATGATTCGGGATATCAGATACATTTTGGGCAAAAAAAACAATGCAGAAATTGTTTTCAAAGACACACAAATGATTCTTGGTGTTTTTAGTAAAAATAGCTGCAAGGTTAAAAATCTTGTAATGTTCTGAATGTAATTGTTTTCAGGTTGCTGTGTTAGCATTTCACCTCTGGTATACTCTTTGTTAATGATTACAAAATAAAAATATCTTGCTCTCAGCACTCCTTGTCCAAGTAATCTCAACTCCTCTTTCCTGATGCTAGATGCAGACAACATACGTGTTGCAGAGCCTCCATCTGAGAATTCCCGAGATCTCCAATGACACCAACTCCATCCACACGGTGAGCAGAGCAAAACAAGAGCAGGGCCTTTCTTTAGTGGAAATGCAGATTGGGTCAGTGTGGTACAACAATTCCAGGAGGTGCAGGGGCCTCAGCCTTTGGGGTTTAGGAGCACGATGCACATCCCAGATTTTGTTATTCCAGCACGTGCCTGGAGTTCACACCAGCCTGCTCTGGATGCATTCAGGTAACTCTCACTGCTTTCATCAGAGTTTCTTTCTCCTTCAGTGGCCAAAGTGTGACCTTTGGAGAACGCTGATCAATCTCCCTGCCCTGAGTTTCCAGAGCAGGACAGAAGCATTTCTGCAAGCCCAGTAGGAATAAATTCCCATCCTTAAGTGATACATTAGCATTTGGAATTTGAGACACATTTGTTACTCTAGACTGCCTAATCAATAATCACTTTACCTTCAGCATATTGAAAGAAGCTGTTCAATCAATACTTTCAAGAAAGGCTGGCATCATGTGATGCAGAAATGGTACAGAGAAGTAAAACACAGGATTTCCAGGGTTTACATGTGTTACACCACCCTCTCTGGCCATTTGACAAGTGTAACTTGATTTTAATTGAACTTTGCATTTACATTAGTAAGACTCTGTTTCTGCTCTTCTGTTGTATATTTCTGATAGTTGTAAGCTTAAAGGAGAAATACAGAGCATGGCTATTAAATGCTTTTCATGACTGAATTAGGTACAAAGTTCAATTCTGTCAGAGGAGAAACTGAGCTTACAGATGTATGAGCAGCCTGATTCAGTGAAAACCTGAATAGCTGAATATTTTCTTCAGTTTTTAAACACTCTTATTTGACTTTTCACAATGTCTGTCAGTGCATTGTTGTTTATTTCAGATCAAAGTGTTCAGTCAAAACATTATTTGTAAAATAATAGTAAAAGTTACCTCTCAAGTATGAAATTGCCAACTGGAATCATCTCCCCTTCCAGTTCCCAGCAGCCTGGCTGACCATGTTTGATGCAGTGCTTATCCTGATCCTGATCCCCCTAAAGGACAAGCTGGTGGACCCCATTTTGAAGAGGCATGGCTTGCTGCCATCCTCCCTGAAGAGGATTGCAGTGGGGATGTTCTTTGTGATGTGCTCTGCCTTTGCTGCAGGTAAGAAAACGACTTGGGCATCCCCTGACAGTGAATTGTCCAGCTCACTGCTACAGCATTTTCTAAAGAGCTGTGTGAATATTTAATTCAGCATTATTCAGATCTTTTTTAGCAGGGTAGTTGGAATGTGCCTTCATGGATGCATTTTCCTCAATAAAGGGGACTGTATCCAACAATTTACTAAACTGTTTTGAACACTTGCAATAAAATTGGACCAGTTTTCCTGCCTGAGGTAGACTTTGCATATACCCTTTAAAAATGTTTCTTCATACATTCTGACTCACAAGTATAAAAAAGCTGAAATTGTACCCAAAATTCTTTCCCCTGCTCTGAAATAATAAAGTTAGGTCATGGCTGAACAAGAGTTTCCTCCCACTTTGGGTTTGCTCCCCCCTCTTCCTGTCCCTAATGTTTGGGAATTAGTGTAGTGTAAAATAGCTCAGCTGTAGCATGAAAGGGAAAAGATGGCAACTCTGCTGGCCCCATAAATCAGCTGCTTTTGAGAGGATTTCAGGTTGTTAAGTGCTGCTGATGTGGAACTGAACATCTCTGAGCAATGCTTCACAGAATCTATAGCCCTCACCAGCATCAGTGTAATGAACATCCTGATAAAGCATTGTAGCATTAAATAAATTCATTGCAGCACTTGGGATCCCCTCTGTTTTAGGGAGAGGGACACTTTGTATGGTTATTAAGATCGCTTTCAATGAGAGAGGTAATTATTAGGCCAAGGTCACTTTGTGGGCAAGGAAAGTTCTTCAAGCAAAGTCATTTAAAGTTAAATCAGAAGTGTTTCTCTTATTCCATGTTTCTCAGGACACTGCTGCTGCAGAGAGGATGATGTAAAACACTTAAATGTCAGCTCTTTAAATAGAACCTGTGGGCTCACATATGAGGGAATTCAAAACCAGCAATATCTGTCTTTATTCCTGGTGGGGAAGAGCACATCAAGCTGTGAGAGCTGAGCTGGGGAATGGGCTCATACGGCACAATTCCTTAAAGTTTCTGATGCTTTTTCCAATTCACCTGCAAGTGTAACACATGCTTTTGTTGGTTTGATCCTCCCCAAGTCTGCCCCAGTAGAAAGTGAAGAGGTGAATTCTTTGGGTGATTATTTGCAATCTGTTTGGAAAGTTTCACCTTTTGGAGTAACTTGACATCTCTTCATCATAACAGGAATTTAAGAGCTTCAGTTGGGACAAATTTGGGGTTTAGGAAAATGTTTATTTCTAGCAAGGTGTTGGTTTCTATGTTTTACTCAATTTTTATTTTCTCATTAAGTGATATTTAGAGCTGCCATATTTGAACATTCTTAAAACACACTATTACTACCAACCACTGCTGCCTTTGAGAGGGACACTAAATGAAATCTTAAACACATGAAAATGTCAAGAATTTGCAATCATGGCAAAATCTTAATGATTTGTTTGTGCCCTATTTCCATTCGGAATTGCTTATCTAACAGCCATTAGTTGTGGACACCGCTCAGGCTGCCTACTAGATTGGTTAGATTATTTAAAATATTTTACAGACTGTGTTGAAATACAACTGATTAGATTTAATGAACATCTGCTGTGCTTCATGCATCTTATGGTGAGTTCTGAGCTGCAATGTTCAGGGTTATTCAGCTGGAAAATCTACTTCATTTATAGAGTTTAAACCATTATAGCAAGAAGTTCAGATTATTTTAACTACTAAGAGTTTAAAATCAAATATGAAACTTGTCCATCAAAGTCTTAAGGGAAGAATCAATAGATTCCAGATACTGAAGTACTTTGAAGATGAATTTATGGCAAAGTTTGGTATATTGTAGTTGTGCTCCTAGGTGGCTCAGTGGTTATTTTGTAAGAGCATAAACACATTAAGATTACTTGATGTTTTGAGGTGCAACAGTTCTATGCTGAGTGTAAATAAATGAATTTATGTCTGAGCTATTAGATGACTCTGCTGCTTTGTTTACACTTTAATTAAGCTCCACTCTAAAGTGTTGGGCAGCTATATTAAAATTAAAACATCAAGAAGTCCAGTTTTATTTTAATTACAGCAGCTTTTCATGGTTCAGAGGGCACTGAGGTAGGTGAAGAGCTAAAGAAAGATAAGATGGGTCACCTAAAGAGAAGTGAGGAATATAGAGAGAATGTGGGGGCAGGTCTGCCATGAAGAAGTAATAAATTCAGAGCAGTCTTTACCTAAACCCAGATGTTAGTGAGCAATTTGGCACTGTCACTTAGCACAGAGGGGCCTATCTGGCTGCTCCCCTTTTGTTTTTAAAAAATGTTTTAAATTTTTAAAAGAAGTTTTATGTCATGGACTTGGGAAGACAGGAGAACAGGAATTGTGTTGTACACCAGGAATTGTGTTGTACACCAGTGTGGCTCAGAGGGGTTCAGCAGCTGATGGAACGTGTCCATGGCAGCTCTGGGTGCCTCCAGGAAAGGGAATGGCACTGAGGAGCAGATGGAGCCCTGCACATGCTGTGATAGCCATGAGCAGCCTATCTGAGCCCTGCATGGGGTTTTGGGGACACATTCGTGTCCCAGATGAGGGCAGATTGTGGCTCAGGACAGCACTGATGGAGGCTGGGAGTGGCAGTGGCTCAGCCCTGCTCCTCTGGATGGTGCTGAATAAATTCACCTTGTTTCCAAGGATAAGGGATGGGAGTTCCTTTGTAGAAGTCTCTTTTGGTGCAGCAGGGAGTTTCATTAACTATTAGCTATTCTGTGTACTTCATGTAACTGTGAGTCAATGGTTTAATCTGGGCAACTTCAGCAAAACCCCAGAGCATTATTTGATATTCACTTTCTACCCTAAACTGTTGTGCTGAGCAAGCTAAAAATGCTTATATTTTACACTATCCTGTCTCTTTTTCATTCCATATGAAGTACTTTCTATGCAATGTATTGCTTGTAAATCAAGCTCTAATGAGCTCTTGGATCTCTCTGGATGAAAAGTGTCATATAAATGTCATAATCATATTCATAGAGGGTTTTCATAGCTCTACAGGACTGGTGTAGCCATTTCCATAAGCAAAAGGGTTTCTAATTTATGAATACTGTGGTGGCAGTTGAAATGGTTCAACAGTGCAAAGTAGTAGTTTGTGAAAATGAGATTGTCTTTAAAGAAAGCCCAGCACAGTGTCCATGAGAGCTCTGAGCTGATCCATCCAGAAATGGGCTAAGTGTTTGTATAATTATTGCCACTGAATGAGAATATAATCACTAATTCTATGGCAGAACAACCATGGCTTGAAATAACACCAGCAGAAGTAGTCTGAAATGCTTTATGTCAGGAAATAAATACATATTCCTGTTGTATCACTTCTAATTGCAATGCAGGGCTGAATCCTAATTTAATTCTTAATGTGGGGAAGCAATGTTTGCATCTTAGGTCAATCTTTTTTCCCTCCCCTTTCACACAGGAATTCTGGAAAGCAACAGACTGAAAATTGTGAAGGTTAAAACAATTAACCAGACAATTGGGAATGTTACATACCACGCTGCAGATTTGCCAATCTGGTGGCAGATTCCTCAGTATGTGCTGATTGGATTCAGTGAAATATTTGCAAGTATAGCAGGTAAGAGTGTGTGTGTGCTTAAATCTGCTTTTGTATCTGTCATAAATGATGGAATCTTAGAAAATAAATACTTGTCAAGTCATTACAAGTAAGCTCTGATGTTCCCAAATACATTTTCATACAACATTGCTCAATTTAAGTGGCAAAGCTCACCACTGTCTTACACATTTGAAGCCTGGCTATGTAAGACTGTGCTTTCAAAATCGAATTTCAAGCAGAGTGACACCTGAAATATTTGTGTGACATCTAGTTAGTGCTGGATATTTGCAAGCCTTAATGGAAAAAAATGTACTCTTTCAATATTGTATTTTAATGCAGTTTTGTGTCCTCTGTATATTCCTCTGTGTTGGAAATACAATTTGCGCTTTGTGAATTTTTTTTGTCTTACAAACTGAGCTCACATTTTAGAAAGTCAGTTAGTAAGTGGAAACACCTTTCTGAGGGCAAAGGGGAGAAATAAACCACATTGAGAAACACTTACCAGTTTAAATTGATGTTACTTGAGTTTTTCCATCTATGAAATAAGAAAAGTTTTTGTGAATATTAATACTGAAGTAGGTATTTTTCTGTCATTTTATCTACTTTATTTCTAGATCAGTTTTCCTGTAGCTATTCCAGTTTTTCAACATTACTCTAAGCAAACTGAAACTGCTCACATTTTGTGTGTCTTTGTATGGTAGCTGTCACAAGTGCCAGCACACAAAAATCTGAACATAAAATCGTGCCTGATTTAGTTAGTTACTAAAAACTAAGGCTGTATTTAGCATTTTTATCCAAAGAGTAAAATGAATTACTTGTGGTCAGTTTTGTTACAGTGCCACTTCAGTCCCAACTCAGATAAACAGATGACGTATCAGAAACATGGAAAATTAAACCAATTTCTTCCCTCTTACACAACCTTGTTTCTCTATCAGCTACTATTAATAGTTCATAGGTGTTTGCAAGGAAGAAACAGCAAGGCTGTCTGCAGGCTGTGGAGAGGCCCTGAAGCTCTCTCTGCTTGCTCAGCTCCAGCCTGAGAGGGCTTTGGGGGAGTTCTCTGGGAGAAGTCTTTAAGGCTGGCACAATTCTCATGGGAATATTCTGCTCTTCTGCACTGCTGGGTCTGTGCCAACAGCATTAGAACTTCAAAAGCTCTTGGTCAGTGTTGGAAAGAAATGCACCAGAAATTCTATGCACATCTTAATTGCTTTGTGTAGTGCACTTCCATTGGATTGTTTTTACAAAGGCTCTTTCCTGCCTTCTGATTATCTGAACATAACTCTTAATATTTTTAAGAAGTCCTCTCAAGACTCAGAGTGTACTTTACCAGTTCAGTATTTAACTTGATAAAGGCATCTACTGTGCTATGAAATTCAGGCTTAAAACAAGCAAAGTGTTACTGGTAACAAAACCATAATGACGGGGAAATGTTTGTTGTGAACAAAAATAGCCCAAGAGCTGAAACATACCTCTGTTTTTCTGTTTACTGTAAAACTAAGCATATTCTTATTAAGCCACATTAGTTACACTTGGGGTACCTTTAAAAAGATGACACACATTGCATTAATCTTTTGTATTATTCTGTCAATCCTCCTAAAGCACCCTTGTCTAAGTGGGAATTGTAATCTCACATGACAACACCAGCGAGGGGCTTTCATTTCAGAAGTGCTTGTTTGCAGGAGCATGAAATCACTATCAAGGGCCGCCAGCAGCCAAAGGAGCTCTGAAGGCAAAGAAAACATTTTATATTCTTTATGCCAGATTAAATCGTAGTGTTGCTGCAAAAGTCACTCAAATTTAGAAATGTACCTTATTTTGTTGCAAAAAGGGGAGGGTTACACTCATTTTGAGTTTTGTTCTGAGTCTTAAGGTCTTTTTCCAGCTGGAACAGTCAGATGCAGTGTATCTGTAAAATAAACAAGAAAAGGAGGAGTTCAGATCCTTTCATGTGTTACACCTGAGCTTAACTGGTACAGAACATTGAGAAGCCTGGTGCCCAGGCTGTGGCTGAGGCTCAGGAGCCCTGTGGCAGCTCTGACCACTCAAGCACAAATCCCAAACAAGCTGCTGTGTGCCCAGAGCTGGCTGCTTGGTTTTTCTGAAAGTGCAGCTGGACAGGTAAATCCTCCTTGGAACATCAGAATTGTTACATTGGTAACAGAGCTGGGAAACAAAGGCAGTGTTAATCCTGGCAGTAAATGCCACTGTGCCCCCTGGCCTGCCCCTGGCAGCTGTGCCTGTGTCTGTCCCATCTCTGGCTGTGCTTTGAGCCCAGGGAAGCCCCACAGCTGAGCAGGGACAGAGTTTCAGTTCCTGCTGGCCCCAGGGATGGAGCAGCAGGGTGGTGCCAGGGATGGGGCAGCAGGGTGGTGCCAGGGGATGGAGCAGCAGGGTGGTGCCAGGGATGGAGCAGCAGGGTGGTGGCAGGGATGGAGCAGCAGGGTGGTGCCAGGGGATGGAGCAGCAGGGTGGTGGCAGGGATGGAGCAGCAGGGTGGTGCCAGGGATGGGGCAGCAGGGTGGTGCCAGGGGATGGAGCAGCAGGGTGGTGCCAGGGATGGAGCAGCAGGGTGGTGCCAGGGGATGGAGCAGCAGGGTGGTGGCAGGGATGGGGCAGCAGGGTGGTGCCAGGGATGGAGCAGCAGGGTGGTGCCAGGGGATGGAGCAGCAGGGTGGTGCCAGGGATGGAGCAGCAGGGTGGTGCCAGGGATGGGGCAGCAGGGTGGTGCCAGGGAAGGGGCAGCAGGGTGGTGCCAGGGAAGGGGCAGCAGGGTGGTGCCAGAGGAAGGGGCAGCAGGGTGGTGGCAGGGATGGGGCAGCAGGGTGGTGCCAGGGGATGGAGCAGCAGGGTGGTGGCAGGGATGGGGCAGCAGGGTGGTGCCAGGGAAAGGGGCAGCAGGGTGGTGCCAGGGGATGGAGCAGCAGGGTGGTGCCAGGGAAGGGGCAGCAGGGTGGTGCCAGAGGAAGGGGCAGCAGGGTGGTGGCAGGGATGGGGCAGCAGGGTGGTGCCAGGGATGGGGCAGCAGGGTGGTGCCAGGGATGGAGCAGCAGGGTGGTGCCAGGGGAAGGGGCAGCAGGGTGGTGCCAGGGGATGGAGCAGCAGGGTGGTGCCAGGGGTTGGGGCAGCAGGGTGGTGCCAGGGAAGGGGCAGCAGGGTGGTGCCAGGGAAGGGGCAGCAGGGTGGTGCCAGGGGATGGAGCAGCAGGGTGGTGCCAGGGGAAGGGGCAGCAGGGTGGTGCCAGGGGAAGGGGCAGCAGGGTGGTGGCAGGGATGGGGCAGCAGGGTGGTGCCAGGGGATGGAGCAGCAGGGTGGTGCCAGGGGATGGAGCAGCAGGGTGGTGCCAGGGGAAGGGGCAGCAGGGTGGTGGCAGGGATGGGGCAGCAGGGTGGTGCCAGGGGAAGGGGCAGCAGGGTGGTGGCCACCAGCCACAGCTCAGGTGTCCGTTAAAGAAATTGGCTGGATGAGTAATCACACAGGTTTTGGTAAGTGTATTTTTCAGCATGCTCATGGCCTGGAAAGTAGAGGTTTCAGTTAAGCATCGAGGACATGGCACTATTGAGCTCTAACACGGTTTTTTAACACAGTTATTATTTTCAAAATATGAATTTGTCTGCTGCTCTGTTATAGTTTCATCCTGCATCTAAGCATGAAATAATGCGAGGAGGCTGCTGCTGGAGCACTGAGCACCCAGCTCCGCTCCCCCAGAACAAAGCTCCTCCCTCACAGCACCAGGGTGCCTTGAATTGTTCATCCTTTTCTTCCAAAGAAATGCCCCTGGATTTGTTAAAGCTGCCTGGAGCAGTCAGACAGCAGAGGTGCTGTAAATAAAGCATGCCTTCATTATGCCAGACACGAGAGTTATGCAATTTCAGGCCTGTAATGCTCTCCTTGCAAGGAAAAATCTTAGATGAGGTAGCATTAATTCCCAGTATGAGCAGACTGTTTGGAAACAAGCATTTCACCTGTCAGAAAGAGCTCTGCAAGGAATGGATTTGATTGTCTCTTGTGAATAATCCCATTTGATTTTTGACAGGAGTATTATTCTAAAAAGGAGAGTTAATCATGGGCATTAATCTTTGTGTGGCAGAGCCTAACCCAGTGTGTGCTCTTGGTACACAAATGCAGTAGCACAGATTTGCAGATGGATGCTCACTGGTACCCTTTTCTTGGGTTTATTGGTTGAAATTTGAGCAAAGACAGCTGAAAGTTCAAGCCCTATATCTACAAATTTTAAAAAGAATTGCTTGCTAGCAAGCAATGAACTCGGAGAATTCTAGATCAAAGTAAATGAAATTAAAATAATTACTGCCTTTCCAGTTCCAGTTAATGTCTCTGTCTGCACACTCAGAGACAGAGACACTGAGGCTGTAAGAAATAAATGTTCATGGCTCATGCAAGAGTGACTTTTCCCTTTTTCCCTTGTCCTGCCTGTGCTGCCCAGCAGCCAGGGAAGCAGGGGAGGTGGGAAACGTGGAGCTGCCAGGTTTGAGCTGGTTTAATTCATTTCCTTGAGGGTCATTTTAGACAGAAAAATGAATATGTTGGTTCAGAAGATTCCTTGATTTTAGACATGGAACATAAATAAGATCAAAGTCTGTGTCTCAGCATTGGGTTGGTGCATTGATGACCTTTAAGAGGCTTCATAAAGCAATTAAAAGGAGCTGGGAAATGCTAAGGATTCACTACACACCTGTGGCTTCTGGAACAATCTGCTCTCATTTCTTACATACTCTAATAGCATTTTTCATCTTTTAACACAGGTCTAGAGTTTGCATATTCAGCTGCTCCCAAGTCCATGCAGAGTGCCATTATGGGGCTGTTCTTTTTCTTCTCGGGGATTGGCTCCTTTGTTGGCTCTGGGTTGTTGGCACTGGTGTCCATTAAAGAAATTGGCTGGATGAGTAATCACACAGATTTTGGTAAGTGTGTTTTTCAGTGTGCTCATGGGCTGGAGAGTAGAAGTTTCAGTTAAGCATCAAGGGCATGGCACTGTTGCATTTTAATAGTTTTTTAACACAGTTATTATTTTCAAAATATGAATTTGTCTGCTGCTCTGTTATAGTTTCATTTTGCACCTAAGCATGAAATAATGTGACTGTGCAGAATAATTCACTGCCCTCGTGAAAGCATGAGGAACACCTCTGCAGAGCCTCAGTTACTTGCTCAGCTCTTACTGCATTTCATCTCTAGAAATTACAAATATTTTCATTTCAGTAAAAAATATTTAAATTACGTGCAGCAGAAGAATATATTTGGTAAAAAGTACTGAAATTGCTTTCTGTGGTTATGAGAAGTAAAATGTACTCATTTCTCTCTCAAGTGATTATTCAGCTTCCTCATTTCAAGTGACTTCATTGAAATTACCATGAGTTAATGCTGCACTTCTGTCTGCTAGCTATTTATACTCCTAAAGTTCAACAAATCACCTGCTTTGAGTTGCCAGTGGAGGTTAAAAATAATTACTGGCACCAGTAGGTGGCACCTTGGGAATTTCAGAAAACCCTCCCATCCTCAGTGGGCTAATGAATTCAGCCAGGAGGAGCGTGAACAGTTCTTCAGATGTCTGCGAGACCTGCCGGGTGCACATGGCTTAAAACTGCAGCCTAAACTTTCAGTTTGGTCCAGGAGAATTTGCCATTTCACCTGGATTCGCATTTACCAAAAAGCAGTGGTGCCTGATTCCTGCATGTGCCACAAGCTGGCATCTGTGGCTTGTAAGTTGTTCTTCAAAAGATAACAAGCAGCCTGAACTTATGGAAGTGTGCTCCCCAAAGGAATATTTCACCCCATTGAGACTTCTTTTCCCCAGTCAGTCTCAAAATTGGAAAGGGAACCTTTTCTGCAGTACAGAGGTCATTCAGCTGCTAATGGCTCAGCAGGGGATAAGAATTCCACACAAATAATGATGGTGCTTCTTCAGCCCCTTGCCCTTCTTCTCTGAAGCAGCTGAGAGAACACACTGCCAAATCTCTCTGTGAAATATTTGGGCTGTGCTAAATCTACCCAGAGGTGGCCAGCACTAAAGGGGGCTGCCTTTCCTGAGCCATGGGCATCATCTGAGCAGCTCAGAGGCCTCTGGGCACTGTCAGCACTGCGTGTTGGTGCCTTTCCTGAGCCATGGGCATCATCTGAGCAGCTCAGAGGCCTCTGGGCACTGCCAGCACTGCGTGTTGGTGCCTTTCCTGAGCCATGGGCATCATCTGAGCAGCTCAGAGGCCTCTGGGCACTGCCAGCACTGGGTGTTTGTGCCTTTCCCAGCAGGGACACACCTGGCTCAGGTGATCTGCAGCTGCAGCATCCACAGCAGCCCCTGCTGTAACCCTCTGTAACTCTATAAATCCATTTTCCTTTCTGTAACAAGATTTAAAGTTACCAGAGCCACAGCTGAACTTTACCTGGGTTTTCCAGGGTGGGAATGACATCCATGACATCACTGGGGGTGACTGACTGCCTCCCGAATCTCCTGAGGAAGTTCCCTCTCTCCAGCACCTCAGGGGCGGTTGCTGCCATTGAATTGACTTGTTTCTCCCACCAAAACTAAGATTTCATGGGTTTAATATCCCATCTCATTAAGGATAATTACTACTCTTTAAACACATCTGCTCTTGAAATGGAGATTCACATCTATATTGTATTTTAAATGTCAAGGAAAGGCTCAGTTTAATTTTATTGCATTTTATGATAAGTTCATTTAATTGAATCTTAAGTTTCAGTAATTAAAGTAATTGAATCTGCACGTTTATAGGCTTGCAGCAGGAACAGCTGGTTGGGGTCCATGCACACGTCACTGTTTTAGTCTCTGCAACACATCTGATAATTGTAATGGTCCAGTTGGCTGTGCTGTGCTGGAAATGAGCCACGATATATTGTTCTTGGAAATCCAGCAGGAGCTGGGCATGCTTCCTAACAGAGGAGTGATGTTTTAGCAATGAGCTTCCTGCATTTAACACTGTTCAATGTCCAGAGCAGTAATTTGTGACAACTCACAGGGGGCATCACAGGCGGACTGAGCCACAAAGAAATCCCCTATGTTTTCATGAACTCTAAACTTTGCTGCCAAAAAAGGCTGAGAAACAATTTTAATAATGGCTTTTTTTGTATCTGTGGAGTGGCCAACTTCTTCCTTTACAGCATTCATTTTTTGCGTTTTTTTAAATTTTCTTTTGACTTGGTCTAAGGCATTGGAGAACAAAGGAAAACATTGCTTATCCTGGGCACACCTTCCTCAGCAGTGCCAGCCTTTGCTGTGGATAATGAAAATGAACTTTGCTGTGGGATGGAAATGTGGTTTGGTTTGGTTCTGCACAAAAGTCTTCACCACTCACACCTGACCAGATTCACGTTTTCGTTTGTATCATCTTCCTTAATGCTTTTTTCCTCCCCAATTCTTCCCAGGCAATATCAATGGCTGCCAATTGAACTATTACTTCTTTCTGCTGGCTGCTATCCAAGGAGCCACCCTGCTGCTGTTCCTGATTGTGTCTGTCAAGTACGAGCACCACAAGGCCAAGGCGGGCGAGGCGGCTGCCAACGGGAGGCTGTGAGCCCGTGGGGCTGTGAGGCAGGGCAGCCTGTGCCAGGGAGGGCAGTGCCAGCCAGGGCCTGCCCAGGGACCCTGCAGCCCTGCCCTGTGCCCGTGGGGAAGTGCCTTAGGGCAGGGGCTGCTTCTTGCACTACGGCCTGCCAGGGACAGCAAAGCTGGGTGTGAATCACCGCAGGCCCTGGAGCTGCTCTGTGCCCATGGGGAGCCGAATCCATCCCCTGCAGGCCCTGGAGCTGCTCTGTGCCCTTGGGGAGCTGAATCCATCCCCTGCAGGCCCTGGAGCTGAATCCATCCCCTGCAGGCCCTGGAGCTGCTCTGTGCCCTTGGGGAGCCGAATCCATCCCCTGCAGGCCCTGGAGCTGAATCCATCCCCTGCAGGCCCTGGAGCTGCTCTGTGCCCTTGGGGAGCCGAATCCATCCCCTGCAGGCCCTGGAGCTGCTCTGTGCCCTTGGGGAGCTGAATCCATCCCCTGCAGGCCCTGGAGCTGCTCTGTGCCCTTGGGGAGCTGAATCCATCCCCTGCATGCTCTGGAGCTGAATCCATCCCCTGCAGGCCCTGGAGCTGCTCTGTGCCCATGGGGAGCTGAATCCATCCCCTGCAGGCCCTGGAGCTGCTCTGTGCCCTTGGGGAGCTGAATCCATCCCCTGCAGGCCCTGGAGCTGCTCTGTGCCCATGGGGAGCCGAATCCATCCCCTGCAGGCCCTGGAGCTGCTCTGTGCCCTTGGGGAGCTGAATCCATCCCCTGCAGGCCCTGAGGCTGCTCTGTGCCCATGGGGAGCTGAATCCATCCCCTGCAGGCCCTGGAGCTGCTCTGTGCCCATGGGGAGCTGAATCCATCCCCTGCAGGCCCTGAGGCTGCTCTGTGCCCATGGGAGATGTTTACTGGGCTCCTGAGGCTGGCACACCCGGAGGGCACTGCAGGGACCCACAGGGGCTGCTCTGACCCTGACTCTGCAGGCCGAGCCTTCCCTGAGGACACAGGAAGGAAACCCTGACAGGAGCCTCAAGCAGTGCATGGGTTTGCAGTGCTGGGAGTCATTTTGGGGTGAGAAACAGGGATGAATTAAATTACAAATCAGCACAGCTTAAATTTTATAATTGACCTGTTACGGACAGTGTATCAAGGGTTCCAGACTTGCAATCAGGAATATCCAGGACTGAGGGGTGAATCCTAAATCCCAGTCAGGCAGCTGCTGCAGACTGGTGCACAGCTAACACTCGTTGGGATGGCAGCTGTTCGACTGCAGCAATGTTTTTAATTTTGAGCCTGCATTAGATGTGTTAGGGCAGCAGCCACCCCTGGACAAGGCCCTGCTCAGTCTGACCCTGCTCCTCCCCAAGGACTGTTCCAGGTATCTGCAGGAAGCAAAGCAAGCTGGAATTCTGAGCAGATCAATGCACAGCAACCTCTTAGCAGCCTTTAGCCAGGTCCTTCAGCCTTGTCTTGCTTTAGTTAACGTGCTCCAGGGTTTGGATCTTTCAGCAACACATTCCTCCAGCAGAGCAATGGCTTCATGTTCAGCCTCTTGAATTTTAATGATTCTAACAACTGTACTTCAGAGTGCGTGCACACTGCTATGGAAGGTGCAAGGTATTATGCAGAAAGAAAATAAAACCTTTTTATTAATGCGTTGAATTTTTATAGTTTCCTTTGTCTGCAGTTCTGTTGTTGAAAATGTCCTTATTTTGTACATGGACATCTTTTTAATGAGTTTACAAAATAAAATGAACCTCCATGCTGTGACTTTCGACCCTTTGTTTCTAGGTGAATAAAATATACTGTAACTGCTTTGTTCTTTGGCCTTTATTTCCTGAAGGAATGGTGTTGGATTTCTGAGTGTCCACAGGCACCCCATTAATTCTGGCAGACACTACAGCAGTGTCCTGTCCCTGCCCAGATAAATCAGCAAAAATGCTTCAGCTGTTGCATTCCTTAGCATGATTTAAAACTGGAATGACTGAAGAATAATGTCTCTATGAGGAAAAACTAATTTCCTTTCCTAACTCTGTTTCAGAAGCTCCATATGCTGTTTCTGGAATATCCCGTTTATAACCAGCTAAAAAAGCATCATATTAGGAGAGTGGGAGCTGCATAAGAGACAGAACAGGTTATTTAATAACCTTTCCCCTTTTTGGGCTGCTGTTCCCCAAAAGAACCAGCCTGGGGTGTCTCACCGCTGCCTCACTGACTGCCAGAGCTCCCCAGGCCAGGGCACAGCTGGGCTGGGCCTCAGTGGTGCCAAGGCAGAGATTGGCAAACTCTGCTGGATTTATCCAAAATTAGAGCTGCCAGCACTGGGACCCTGCAAGTCCTTACAGCCCCAAAGCCACCTCTGAGCTGATACCTGACCCTGGGGAAATGACTTCTCTTTCCCATGGAAAATGTTACCCCTTTGGGGGCTCTCAGACCGGCAGTATCAGGGTGCCGAGCAGAAAATGATCACACTTTTCTGTATTTCTCAAAAACTGAGGTTTGGCTCTCTGAGGTGTTCCTGCTCTGCAGGACTGGCACCAGGGGCAGAGCTCTGACCCTGCCCCTTTCTGAGCACTGATAAATTGATATATTTCCCATTGCTGAGGGATGGTTAAAGCTGAGTTTAAGGGCAGCAGAATAATGTGCAGGTCCCCAAGGACCCCCAAGGGGTCTGGCAGAGGGAGAGGCTGTGCTGGCAAACAGAAAATGATGGTTTGGGGCCATGGCAATGGTAATTTACCAACAGTGAATGATGGTTTGGGCCAGCCCATGGTAATGACAATTTACCAACAGTGAATGATGGTTTGGGGCCATGGCAATGATAATTTACCAACAGTGAATGATGGTTTGGGGCCATGGCAATGACAATTTACCAACAGTGAATGATGGTTTGGGGCCATGGCAATGATAATTTACCAACAGTAAGTGATGGTTTGGGGCCATGGCAATGGTAATTTACCAACAGTAAGTGATGGTTTGGGGCCAGCCCAGGCCATGCTGGGCAGAACCCCTCCCTGGCAGCAGCACAGCTCAGGGCCAGCTCGGGGGACCCTGCAGGCTGAACAAGCACTGCCCTGTGTAATTCAGTTTTCGTTTGGGATGCCTTGGCTCAGCTCCAGGCACAGGTAATTATGGCCATTTCTGAATGTTAATCTGACACTTCTCATCAGGGGGATGAGGCCTGAGTGACTCCAAGGCTCAGCTGATTCCTCCTCCCCATCTCACCTTGCAGTGGTTCCACCCAGCACAGAAATGAGGACCAACCAATTAACTTCATGGCTGAACACTGCCCCCCATTAATGAAGTGCCTTGAAGATTCAGGGTGTGAATTTGACATTCACTCCTGGTTGTCCAGAGCAGGGGGAAGATCTGACAGGAGTTACCCTCATGGATGCTTTTAAGCCTTTGTCTTTCCAGGTGCCTTAAATTCAAAGCACAACACAGAAAACCTTGTTCAACATGAGAGGAGGTCTCTCAGTAAATTGACTTGTAAAGAACTGCAGAACTAATTAGCATTGCAGGCTAATTACAGCCTCCCCAGGCTCCCACCAGGCCTGAAGGAGGGTGCCTGGTTTTATCTGAGATTACAAGGTGGGTGCATCGCTCATATAATGGTGGATATTTCCAGAGCACAGCAAAACCTGGTTTTCCTGCCTTTGCATCTCTACTGAATATCCCTCCTCAAAAAAGGGAGCTTTTTTCATTTATTCTGCTTATGTAAACCTCCAGCATGAGTTCAATTACAGCAGTTTGAACATCCGTCACCATTTCCCTCTGTAGTCACCCCTGAGTTGGTTTTATTTGTGTATTTTTGGTGTTAACAGAAGTTGCTCAGGGCTGACATGACACAAGGCTGCTCAGCCTGACAATAAACTGGTGCTGGAAGCTGCACAGAGTTCTTAATTTCCAAAAAGCAATTTCCAACACCAAATCTCATCCCAGTGATTTTGTTTCTATGCAGAGCAAGCCGTGGCACTGCAGCAAAGCCCTCTGGGGAAGGAGATTGGAGCGGTTCCCATCTGAGCAGGCAGTGTTTGAGCCAGGTTCATTTCTGAGGCTGTGGAACCCAGCAGGGCTGGAGGGAGGGCCCTCACCTGAGAGCCTGGAGCTGCTGGAGCAGGGGACACCCAGGGCCAGGGGCACTGAACACAGAATGCCATTCTCTGGTTCTTTACTTCCTTAAACACATTTTGCATTGACACAAAATGCCATTCTCTGGTTCTTTTTCTACTTCCTTATACACATTTTTCATTGCAGGGCAGCCCTGCAAGCTGCACATCTGTGAGGAGCAGTGGCAGCAAGGGGCTCCAGGCAGGAGATGCCCAGGGCTGGGCTCACCCCCAGTTCAGGCAGACACTGAAATAATTAAAATGTGGGAGAGGGTTCCCGTTAATTGACTGCACATTTTAGAACTTGGTCAAACACTGACAGTCTAGAGATGCCCTAATTCCAACAGACCTGAGTGCCTCTGGTTCAACCTTTACCCTTCTCCTTCCCTGTCCCTCTCACTGTGCTGGGTTAACAGCAGGCACTGATGCCTTTGCAGGCTGTAAAGGGTTTAATAATTCCAAAATTTATATTGCACACAATGCTCATCATTTCTCAATTCCAGCTCATCAAATGGATGGGCTTTAACGTGAGGAAATTGTTCTGTGTGATACAAAACTGCCCAAATTCGAGCCCTTAGAAAAGCACCAAACACTACCATAATTTCAAGTGGGCTTTTCAAAGCCCTCTCATGATGCTGGAGCACTTCAAATATTTTTACAAGGATGTCAAAGCAGAATATGGTCAAATAGCCTTTTGAAGTAAAAGCAGCAGACATCAAAACATAAATCCCCAGGCTGAGAAAAACACTTGGAGAGTCTTGAAAAGCAACAATCCCAGCTCATCTGCAGCCTGCAGCTTCCTGGAGCAGCAGTGTGTCTGCTGATGGGGTTAAAGGCAGCTTTGGGCCTGTGGGTGCAGGAGCAGCTCCTGTAAATATCAATATCCACACTGCAGAGCAGCTCAGGTGAATACCAATATCAATATCCACACTGCAGAGCAGCTCAGGTGAATATCAATATCAATATCCACACTGCACAGCAGCTCCTGTAAATACCAATATCAATATCCACACTGCAGAGCAGCTCAGGTAAATATCAATATCAATATCCACACTGCAGAGCAGCTCCTGTAAATATCAATACCAATATCCACACTGCACAGCAGCTCCTGTAAATACCAATACCAATATCCACACTGCACAGCAGCTCCT